CGTCAGGATCAGCTTCCCCTTCCCGACACAAGATTTCCGGCTCATCAAAAACGAATTCCTCTATTTCTTCCACGTCGTCAGCTTCTTTCCAACGCCGTATTTCATCACCGATCGCTTTTGCTAGGCGACGTTCAGTTGAATTAATCGGGGATTCAGGTATACTCCCAGAAAATTCAATAGTTAATGGTTCAATAACATTTTTTGGATTAATTCGTTCCATTTTTGGAAAGTTTTTATTTTAATACTATAAAAATTAACTACAATGTGGATTTAAAATATTAGAAACAATTAGATAAAAAAATAAAACCCAAAAAAGAATCGAACTTTTTAGAGAACCCTTTGCATCATGCCATTCCTTATTTTTGGCCTAATTTCTATTTTTGCTCATACTTCATACCAAGTACAAGTACGAGATGCGGGATGAGCATGAATTTTAGTACGAGCGTCCAAGTTCTGTATGAAAGTCATCCTTCGATTCCATCAGTCTGCAGTTAACTTGTGCTTTTTTAACAAATTTTATTTTTAATAAAAACATTTAAAAATAATTTATTAATTTCTCTAAAATAATTCCATTATTCTCTTCCAGTTCCACTAATCTCTACAATTCATTGATCACACCTTCCCAATTCCTTCTGTTAATGGCCAAACGCCGCTGGCTCATATGCTCAATTAATCACCCTTCTTTTAACACATTTTCTTTTATTTTCTTACTGCTTCTTTTATTTGTTTGTTAGTTTTTCTTTCACCTTCAACAAGAAATCTTTTAAAATGTGAGCCGTTTCTCTGATAATTAGTATTAAATTATATACAAATATTTATGTTTGTATTTTCAATTATTTTATTTATACATATAACTAATAAAATTCTTGTCAAAATTAGAACAAATACTTCAAGAAAGTAGACATAATTCAGACATTAATAGTTTGGATAAGCCCACTAACCTCCAAAAAAACAGACGCCAATTGCCGTATTAATTTTTCCTCCTCGCAAATATCGTTAAGGAGGGCTAAATAACACCTCCTTTTTTTATTGTTTTTAGATAATTATTTTTGACCAATAAAAAAATTATAGAGAGATTTTTTATATCCTACACGAAGGTTTTAAATTTTTTTTAAAATCACCCAAATATTTTAGAAATTGGAGGGTTATATTTAGAGAATTAGTAGGTTTTAGTAGGAAGTTTAAGAAAATACACTAATTTTTACTTTATTTAAACATTTTATTTTTGCAAAATAAATCTTTATTTTATTTTAGTTGTAGACTACTAATTTACAAGCAATTTAATATTATTTTTATTTAAAAAAGGATCTATTTCAAAGTTTTTATTTTTATATTATTATTATGTTACTCTTCCAACTTTTGTTTTTATTTCTTTTTTTTTCTTCCCTTCTTCAATTTAAAAGAATATTTTTTTTTTATTACCAGTTGTCCCATCATAAATACCCTATATTCTTCTTCCTCTCTAATATTATCCCATTTATTTCCTTCCATTTTCTCCTTTTCCACGTCCACTTAAATAATTTCTTCCATTTAATATTTACTTAAAATATCCGTGGATCTCGAAAGAAAAAATCAATGAAATATTAAATAAAAAGCTTAAACTTTAAATAATTATGAGTAAATAATTTTTTGTTTAAATTAAATAAATAAATGTGAATTTGCAACAAATGTTTAATAAAAAATTTTAAATTTTAAAAGTTTTAATTTTCCCTTTTTTTCTTCTCTTTTTTTAATGTCCACTAATATTTAAATGTCCAAAATTATATTTACACTTGAATTTAAAATTTATTAAATTTATTTATGGTCAAAAAAATGTTTGCCGTTTTTAAAAACTAATTTAACTAAAATATTCAATAATATAAAATTTATTTTTAAATAAATTGAAGCGATATTTTTTTAATTAAAAAAATTTTTTTAATTTTCATTAAATAATTAAATTAAAAAAGCAACATTTTCGTTAAAATAACAGTAAATACTTTCAAAATAATATAGAAAAAATTATTCTTCAATGAAATTAACCCGTTATAAGGATTTTAGGATTATTTATATGTAAACAAAAATATATATTTAGGTAAATCTACATATATTTATTCTTTCTTCTTTCTCTATTTTTAAAATTTATATTCATTTTCACGCATTTATTTCTCTAAAATGGTGAAAACAAATTTATTTATTTATTTTACTCGCGCAGGTTTTATTTTTATTATTTCTTTCTCTTTTGTGTTCGTTTGTCCATTTTGTCTGTTTTGCTCATCTTTGCTTTAAATAAATTAAAAAAAATATTTCAATAATTATATTTTTATTAATAAAATGATGATTTAAAATTCAGGGGGTTGACTTCTGATAATTATTTTAAAAAAACTCGCGCAGACTTAATTAAATTTTAATTTTTAAAGAATATTCGGCCCTATACGCAAAAGAGGGCGCCTTGATTTTTTTTCATCATTTTTTTCCTAACTTAATATAAAATAATGGTCAGTCTTTTCTTCCTCGTTCAATTCCACTCTTTTTACCTGTGGCATATTCAAATGAGAGGATAGACAAACACACACAAAAAAACGGACGAACGCAGCAGAGAAAACACGGACGAACGCACACAGACAAAACACGAATGTTTTGTCCGTCCGTGTTTTGTGCGGCTGTCTGAGTTCGTCCGAGTTTTCTGTTCGAGTCCGCCCGTGTTTTGTCTTTCTGTGTTCGTCCGTGTTTTGTCTGTCCGTATGTGTGTTTTTGTCTATACTCTCATTTGAATATGCCACAGGTAAAAAGAGTAGAATTGAACGAGGAAGAAAAGACAGACCATTATTTTATATTAAGTTAGGAAAAAATGATGAAAAAAAATCAAGGCGCCCTCTTTTGCGTATAGGGTCGAATATTCTTAAAAATATTTCTAAATTATATTTTAAATAATTTATTTATTTTTCTCTTAAAAATATTTATTTTTACCTTTTAAAATTATTTTAAAGAAAAATTTATTTTAAGAACAAAAACCAATAGAGCGAAATAATTGCACTCAATTTGTGCGCTTCTTTTATTTTAACTTTTTTTTGAAAATTTCTGGAGCAGATATTAATATTAAATATTTTTAAAAAAATAATTATTTATATTATTTTTATATGAAATTTAATATATATTTTTTCTAAAATTTATTTTAATCCTTTTATTTTCTTTTTTGTGAAACAAATTTACTTAAAACTGGCAGATTTTATCTATTTGCCATTGCCTAATTGCTTAAAACTAAATTTTCAATTTCATGCAATCCCTACTCTCCCAATTTAATTTTTCTTTTTTTTCTCTTTTTAAGCCAAATAATTTATCCAAATGTGTATAAAAATCTAAATAAAATTTCAAAATGAAATTAGGTATATTTTAAATTTTTAGAAAAACAAAAAATTAAACTTTTTTTCCTAAATTTAATTTTAAAAATTAAAAAAAACAAGATTCATTTCCAAATAAAAATTTTGAAGAAAAAATATGTACTTTTCAGTTATCCCCTCCCCCATTTCCTTTCCTTTTTTCTCCAAAATAGAATTAACTGTATTTGTATTTATCATGCTTTAAGATAGGGTTATTTAAGATCAACTCGCTAAATTAACAAAAACTCTATCGGATCAGGATTGGTTTTTATATTTTCAAATTCCGATACCTGTCACCCTTTTTTGAAAAAAAAGAAAAAAAGAAGATAAGGGCGAGCAATGGAAAAGTACCGAAAAAAAATATTCCTTCTTTTCTTTTTTTGTATTTGATATTTATTTTATTTCTGCTAATTAACAAATTGTTTTTTTAAATTTGCAACTTTATTCTCAAAATAAAAGAAAATACCAAATAATATTCTTCATTTCTTTTAATAAAAACTTTTGTCACAATTGTGAAAATTTTACTAATAAAAAAATAAAAACAAAGCAACGCCAAAAAGGCAATAAAATAAAAACAAAAAATAATAAAATTCCCCCTACTTTTTTTATTTTCTCAATCCAATCACGGAAAAAGCCGACAACAATATAAAGAAATTTTTGTGAAGAAAAAAGTATTAAAAAATAAGAAAATAACACTCACAAAAATACTTAAAAAACAGTTTTGCCAAAAACTAATAAAAATAATTTACTATTTTTATTTTTTTACATTCATCAATTTCCCAAAACAATTGAAATTTTTCTGGTTTTTATTCTTTTTCGTTTTTTTGTTAAAATTTTCGAGATTGATTAATTACTGAGGATATAAAAAATTAATTAATTAATTGTTATTTCTACTTAAAGAATTTTAAAAGTGTTCTCATTTTCTATTTAAAAAAATATTACAACAACAACAAATCCTTCCTTCCTAGTAAAAAATCTTAAAGAAAAAAATATTTTCCTTTGATTATTTTTGTTTATTTTTTTTTCTAGTTATTTTCACACCATTCTTTCCTTCTTCAAACTCTTTTTTTCTTTTTAAAGTCCTTAAAAACATTCTTCTTTTTATTAGTTTTTAATTAATTGGTTATATCTTTTGTGGAAATTTATTTTAATTATTTGATAGAATTACCTCTTTTGCTTCAACTTTGAAATAATAACAGAAACTCTTCGAGAATTTCTCTACAATCAAAATATACCTAAATCATAAATGTTTTTTCAATTCAAAAATTTTTCTAATTTTTAAAAATCTTTCCATATATTTACATTTTATAAACTTGTCCAAATATCCAACAAAAAATAACCAATCCCTTGAGAGAATAATTTGTGGAAAAGAAAATTGCAGCGGTTTTAGCTCTTTCCGCTTATGTGGAAATGGGTGGTGGTGGTTGTTATTTTTATATATTTTCTTTATTGATACTTTGGAGAAAATTTTTGAAGTTTTTTTTGAATTTATGGGTGGTCAAACCATCCATTTTTAAACCTCTAAATAACTCTTTTAATTATATCCCTCTTTACATTCGTTTTTCAATACAAAACTCATCCATTTCCTTTATTTGTTAAAGAAATTTTTTTAACTTTTAATGTAGATTTTAAATTAATTTAAAAAATGAAGTCATCCACAGCTGGTCTCGAAAAACGAAAGCAATCAGCTAAAAGTATGTCTGCAAAAAGTGCTCCACCAAAAACATCAACAGCAAGTAGTCATGAAATGGCCCCATTTTTTTCAATATTTTATCGAGGAATTTCTTCAAAAATTAATAGATCGGCTAGTAAGATTGATTTAGATGGACAGAATGAACAAATTGGTGTTACAAGCAGAGTTTAGGAATATTAAAAAACAAAAACAAAAATTATTCTATTTAAAGAAATTTGTTTCGACTTCTTCTGCCGATAAACCCCCAATACCTTCAGCATTAAAAGGAGCTAAAGGAAATAATGTTGCCGATGCAGCAATACATAGAAGAGGTACTGCTCCATCTAGTGGACGATCTAAATCTACTGTTGAATTGGCTAAAGAAAAGGCGGCAGCCGAGGGGAAGACTTGGAGAGAGAATGTTGAATCGAGTAAATAAATTCAAATAAATAATTATTTGTATTTTTTAGCAGGGTCACCAGTTAGTGTAATTAAAAGTACTATTGGTATTAGTTCAGCACCAACATCTCCACAACGCCAGAGACGATGGTAATTTTTTGAAGAATTTTCTTTAAAAAAACTTTTGTTTAAAAATTTCAAAAAATTCTTTTTAGGCCATTTAATATAAGGGGATCCAAAGCTCAATCTCAAGAACCAACACCATTCCCAGTTTCACAACAACAAAATGGGTTTCCTTCTAATAAAGCCACAACAACAACATCTTCACAACCAACATTATTAGATAATCAACAATCATCAGAATTACCTCCTCCAGTCCCTATTAGGCGAAAACAAGGGCAACAGGAAGAATTGGTAAAATTAAAATTAATAATTTTAATAGCCCCCTTTTAATAGCCCCAATCTTCACAAATTCAACAACAACAACAACAACAAGAAGCAACTCCTTTTATCACTCCAAAAACATCTAACACAACAACAACATTTACTACTCGTCCCCCTCCTCTTCCAAAAATTTCCTTCGATCGTCTTCCCCCACCTTCTTTACCTTTCGCTGAAAAACCCCCATTATCCCCTTCTAATTCCTCACTTCCAATGTCTTTTGTGCAAAGAATTAAATTACACAAAGGTGTTAGAACTGGTAAATTACCTGTAGATGCACTTAAACAACAAACACCTGGATTTGAAACTGGAAGAGGTTTAAGAGTTATATTTAATAAATGACTAAAAATATATTCTTTCCTTTCCTTCAATATTGAGGTAATGATTAAAAGAAAAAATGATTCAACATTTTCTTTTTCTTTTTATTTATTTCAATCCCATTAATAGATTGAAAAATGATTCGACAATAAAAAAAAGAAAATAAAAAATATTCTAAGTTGTTTTTAATGCTTTTCTTTATATTTTCATCTTTTCACTTTCCACGTAAAATTAAAAAAAAATATTTTAAGATTTTAGATAAAAATATTTAAAAAATTTTTATAAAAAATAAAAATAATTTTATTAAATCATTCCTTTTTTACAAATAATTTAAATTTCTTTTAAAGTTTAAACTTCAATTACTTTTAGAAAATTATTATTAATTTTTGGGTCTCCACTCAAATTTATTTATTCAATTAACCAATACTCTTTTTCACTTTCGCTTCCATCCATTTATTTACCTCAAAATGAGCGAAAATGCTTTTCCTTAAAAACATTTTTATTTATTTTCCTTTTTCACTCCATTTATTCTCTCAAGTATTTTTTAGCTTTAAAATAGTAATTGAGGTAAATAAAATAATAAATAAATAAATTCCTTTAGTGACACATTAAATTAGGAAAATTAAACTAGAAAATTTAGCCATTAAAATAATTTTAAAAAATTTAGGAGAAAGATTTTTCGCTTCAAGGAGAACATCCAAAAAAGCAATGCCTGGGGCGGGTATTTATATGTCTGCTGATGCAATACACGAATTACGTAGTGATCCAGATTATATAGTTGAGGCATTAATGGCTATTGGGGATGAACAACCTAAAGTTGCTAGGTAAATAAATAAGAAATTATGTTGGAAAGTAACAAAATATAAAATTATTTTTTTGGGGGTTTTCCCACAATTTTATTTATTCAATTAACACCATTTTAAAATCTTTTATTTTAATTAATTCATTAAAATAAAATATTTATCCCTATAAAATAAATTTCCTTTACAAATTTAATTAAAAATAAATTAAAGATCAACACCTAAACATGCCTATGTTTCTCAAGATATTAAAAGAGTAAATGACAGATTATCTCGTAATTGTATTTATAAATCTGATGTTTATGAAAAAATGGTAAAATTTTAAAATAAATTTTTTAATTTTTTAAATAAAAAGGTAAATGACTCTTTATTGGTTTGTGATATGTTACAAGACCATCTAGATAATGTTATTAGTGGAGTTAGAGCTAAATCGCCAACAGCTTTATCCTCTCCTTTTACAACGCCCCCAGGAAGGTATTTTAAAAGAAATATTTTTTAATAATTTAATTATTTTAGTCCATTTATGACTCGTTCAACTTCTTTACATTTTCCTGGTTCTACAGCCCCAATTAATCGAGTAACTATTTCTGTTAGGTATTTAAAACAAATTTAAAATAAAATTTACTTTTTTATTTTCTTTTTTTTAGTCCAATGGCACAACAAGCAATAAATCATCGTTTACCTTCACCCTCAAAAGGAATTAATAATATTTCTCGTTCTGTTTCTCCACAACAACAAATTATCTCTTCTAATAACAAAAATATATTAACAACAAATTCAACTTCATATTCACTAAGTCCATCTAAACAACAACCTCCACCTTTACTTCGAGTAACACAAGCCTCGTTTAGAGGTATTTTAATTTATTAAAAGTTTAATAAAAGATTATTTCGTTCAAATAAAAGTTGAGTACCGTAAATGATTAAATAATTACCTGGGTAATTATTGTTTCAATCCCTTGCTAGAGGAGGTAATTAATAGGGAGATGTTGAATTTGAGGTAGATACCAATGGACGAAATTGATTTATCAAAGTCTTGGGATTAAAATAAAAAAGAATTATCGAATTTTGTTAAGGTTGAAGCGAGATATGGTAAAAACAAAAGTGGACGGAAAAAGTTGCCGCACCCTTTATTTTGATATAAATTTTTAAACTGTTCCTTTAATTAAAATTGTTAATGATTTTTAAAAATATTTTTAAAATTATCATACAAAAAATAGGGAGTAATTATTAAAGATTGTAATTATTTGGGAGGAGATAATTATTCGAGCATTTACGGTATATCTCCCTATTTATTATAGAAGATTTCTGTTCTGAGGGACAGAAAACTTTGATTTCTTTAACTTTCTTCTAGCCTTCATTAAAATTAAAAATCCAATCTCTATCAATATTTAATTAATATTTATTTTAAGGAAGTATACCTTCTCAAAATAACCATTTTCCTACTACAACTACAAGTAATGGCCCAAGAATTTCTGAAAAACATTTACATTTTGTTTGAATGCAAAAAAACATTTCTACGGGTATTTTTGGTTGTTTTAATTAATTAAATATATTTTTATTTTAAATAAAACCCTCAATTAATTGTATAAATACATAAATATATTTTAATAAAATATTTGTTTATTTTTTTGTCATTAATTTATCCTTAGCTTCTTTTAATAATTAAAATATTAATTATAAAATATTTATTTAAACAAATATATACAAAGAAAATAATAATTAATAAAATAGAGGTGAGATAAATTAAAGGTTTAGACAAAAAATGCTTTTTTTTGGTATTTTTGGTTATTAAAAACATATTTATGAAAAAGAGATACACAAATACATATAATTTTTTAATAAAATTTTTCTCCTTTCGAAGGTGGGAGAATTATTTTTATATTATTTTAAATATCACAATTAAAATACCTACATAGACATCCAAATCCTCCTTACAAAGGGTGAATATTTGGAAAGTTTGGAAGCCCTCTTCCATATCCCTTTCCTTCGGGTCAACCAACTAACCCCCCCCCCCCCCTGAAAGATTCCACATTTTAAAGAAGAAAAGGATTTTTAGTGAGCAAAGAAAAAGTTTTAAATAATTATTTAATTTCAACGGAATGTGTTTACATTTTTTAGGTATTTTTAAATTTTAATAGCTCATAACGGCTTCTTTATATTCCGACCCATCACAAGTAAATAATTCATCCAATTTCCAATGTAATGTTTCAAATGTTGGCCTTTTTTCTGGATCTTTATGCCAACATCTTAATTTATTTATTTTTTGAAATTTAAAATTTATTTTTACTGTAGCATAATTTCATATAAAATTGCTGGACAGTTTGGAGGTATAGGCATTCTATATCCTTCCTCTACTTTATGCAAAACTTCCGTATTGCTCATTCCAGGATATGGAATACGGCCAAAAGTGACTAATTCTGTTAACTAAAAATTATTTTTTTAATTCAAAATTCAATCATTTCCTTACCAAAATACCAAAAGACCAAACATCCGATTTAACAGTGAATTTATTGTGAGTAGCTGCTTCTGGTGCTGTCCACTAGAAAATAATTTTATATTTTTTTAAATTATTTTTAATAATTACTTTAATTGGAAATCTAGCCCCTTCTCGCGCCTCATATTCATTTTCCCGTATTAAACGAGCTAAACCAAAATCTGCAATTTTAACAACAAATGGATGTGAAATTAAAATATTTCTTGCAGCCAAATCTCTATGAATGAAATTCTTTTCTTCCAAATAACTCATTCCAAAAGCTATTTGTGCAGAAACATCAACTAATTGATGTATATTACATTTTCTACCATTTCCTTGCAGAAAATGAAGTAAATTTTCTAAAAAAAAATTTTAAAGGAAATATTTTAAATAAACACACCTTGCATTAATTCAGTAACAATTAAAAAAGGTTCTTCTCTTGTACAAACAGCATATAATTGTAATAATTTTGGATGTCTTAATCTTTTCATTATTTGTGCCTTTTTTGTAAATAAAAGATTTAAAATAATCCCAAAAACAAAATACTTCAGTCAAAAAATCATCAACACAAGCAGTTGAACCCGGTTTTAATTTTTTAACAGCAACGGGGGTTGAAGATTTCCATCTTGCTTCCCAAACCTTTTTTTAAATTCTCAAAATATTTTTCTTATTAATTATTTTTACTTCTCCAAATTGTCCAGCCCCAATTTGATGAATTAATCTTAAACTACGCCTATCAATCTCCCATTGATCATCGTGTGTAAATGTTGAAGTAATTGGGGTCTAAATAAATTTTAAACTAAATATTTTTTTTATTTTTTTCCCTTCCTCACTTCAACTTTTAATGCCGGTTTTGTTAAAACAACACATAATCCATCTTTTAAAAATTAAAAAAATTATTATTTTTTTAAATGTTTTTTCTTTTTATTTACCAGCATCTTCTTGGTAATGTTGTACTAATTCTTGAAGTGTTGCAAATGCAACACGACGGGCAATAAAGAATCCTAAAAATTAATTTTTAAATATTTTTAAACAAAATTAAAGTTACCTCCATTATCTAATTGACGAATTCTGTAATGTTTAACAATTCCATCATCGAGGACTTTAATTAATTTAATTTAATATTTAAAAATCTCAATTTTAACCAGAAAGGGAAAATTCATCTTTTCTTGATTCAGAATCTCTAACAAGAAAAGAGCCATGTTCATTAACGGGAAGCAACAAAAGTTTTTCTGATTCAATTCGACGTAATTTACCAAAATACCAACTAATTTAAATTAAATTTTACTAAAAAATATTATTTTTTACGGTTGTGCATCTATTGTTTTATCTCTAGCAACATAATTAGCTGGAATATATCCACATTTACCAGAATTTAAACTTCTAAAAATTAAATATTTATAAATTTATGCATAAATAACTACCTAGCATACCACCAATCCCCTTCCATACTGTTAAGTATTTCTAATGAATCTCCACGTTTAAAATTTAAATCGTCTTCTGTTCTAGCATCTATTAAAAATAGTAATTATTTTTAATTAAACACCTTACTATAGTATATCTGAAATAAAATTCAGTCACCCTCTTACTTATTAAATACCATAAATGCTGAAATAAAGCCCCTCTCTCAAATAATTACCCCCTTCAGAGAGAGGTTGAAAAAATAATTACACTGGTGATTATTTTAGCAAATACGGATTATATGTACATAAGTACTTAGAAAGTAAAATAAATACAATTTTTAAGTTTCTTAAAAAATATTTTATTTATTTAGTTATGGATTCTACTTCGCATCTTAAGATTGTGTCTCCGATCTTGGTATTTTTTGAGCAATAGTCAACTTCTAAGGCTTTGCCACAACCACCCTAAGTTCACTTTTCGAATATTACAGAGTTTATTAAACAAAATTTAATTAGAACTTCATTTCAGATATTCCAAAAAATTAATTTTTTACAATAATCAAAAAGTGCAACAAATAAATTATTAATTCCTCCCCCAATATCATTTTGTTGTTTTTGTGTAGTCAAAGGAGTTGTTGTAATATTTTTATTTTTTTGAGTAATATAACAATTTGTATTATTACTATTTTGGCTAATACTTTTTGTAGTAGAACTTCCATAACCTCCCCCTCCATTACTTAAAATTGTTGAAGAAGGGGAACTATTACTTTTAACAGATTTAAGTATTGCATTTGGATGTGTTGGAGAAGAAGAAGAGGAAAAAGAAGAAGAATTAAGTATTTGTTTTCCTAAACAAATTTTGATTTTAAATTTTTTAAATTTAAAAATCAAACCAAGTTCGTGAATAGCAAAATGTTTTTGTAATAAAAGTGCTGGGGGTGGAGGAGGAGGTATTCCTTTAATAAAAGGAAGTGGCTGTCTTCTTTCTATTAAATTATTATTTCTTCTAATATTATTATTATTATCTTTTCCACAACAACTTAAACAATTTCCCATAATTATTTAAAGGGAGGAATTCTAATTTTAATTATAACGGAAGTTGATGAAAATAAATAATTAATATTTTAAACTGAATATTTTTCTAAAAAATTATTTAATTAATTTATATATATTTACAATAATTTAGGTATTTAAAAAACAAGATTACCTTTATTTAATTAAGAATAATTAAAAACTAATTTTGGGGGCAAATCATCCCCCCCCCTCTCCTTTATTTTATCCTTTATTTAATAAAAGAAAATATTTAAAAAATATTTGAGAGAAAAATAACGGCGCAATCGTGCTATATTAAAAAAAGTTTTGTGTACTAGAATGTTTGCAGCTGATTAAGAAGAAAATTAAACAAAAATATGAATGATTGAATAAATAAAAAGGGATAATTAAATAAATAATTTAATAATTATGTTAATAAATAAATAAACAATTTAATTATAAAAAATAAAATATTTTTAAAAAATTTTAATAAAAAATTTTTTATTTAAATGTACTAAATACTTCCTTTAAATTTATTATTAAAGAATAAAAAGATTTAATAAACTAATATTTATTTATAAATAAATTACGCCATTTTCCTTTCAAGATTTAATTTTTTGATTAAAAGAGAAAATAAAAAATGTTTTAAATAAATATTTAAATAAATATATATTTCTCTAAAAAAATTAAATTTAAGCTAATAATGTTACAAACAAAGGATAAAATAAATCCGTGAGAGAGTAATAAATTATCTAATAAATATACAAAAGAAATAAAGAAAAATCTGTGAGAAAATATTTATTTTTTACTTAATAATTTGAGTAAATTAGCGGGACTTTAAGTAGTTTTTGCTTTTACAAAAAATATTAGCAAACCGGTCGGTTAGCAGTTTATACATATGTATTTTTAATGATTTATATTGAAAAAGAATGAGAGGTTTTCTAAAAATTCGATATTAAAAATTAATTTTTAAATTTATTTTTTTGTAAATAAAAATTATTTTACAAAATTAATTTACAAAAATAAAAATAAATACTAAATTTAAATATTTAGTATTTATTTAATTTTGCTTCTCCAATTGGTTTTTAGTCGGATTTTATTTTTAAATAGACTGTTTTGGATGAATGAAATAATACATATTAAACAAAAATATTTCCTTCTTCTTCCACTTTATACAAAATGTGAAAAACCAAAAAATATTCTTCTCTATTTCTCCCGGTTCTTCAATTAAAATGACGAGAAGAGCAACAGAATTTTGTGTTTTGAAGAGAGAGGAGAAGGAAAAAAAAGAAAGAGCTACTAAATGGTTGTTGCTGCTGTTGCTACTAATAAATAAATAAATATACTTCTTCTTCTACTAAACAACCGATCATTGTCGCCCTAGCTGTTGGCGACGATAAATACAAGAAAATATTTATTTATATAGAAAAGTGTGAAAATAAAAATTGTTTTTTAAAATTAATAAATTTTTAAAAATTATTTAGAAAAGGATAATGAAAAGTTGAAGGAATTGAGGAGGGATTGGAGTGGGGTGAGAGTGAAGGGTTTCTGTTCGGTTTGGTAACTTGGCCCGGAAGTAACAAATTCTTGACATGAAACGTGTGTATTTTTGAAAAACATTTTTAAAAATAAATTAAAATATTTTTATAAGAGATTATGTGTTTTATGTGAGATTGAAACATCTACTAACTTCTAAATAATTATATATTTTTAATTTAAGTAACTTATTTAATTTTTAGAATATAAATAAATTTAAAATTCTAAAAATAACTGAAGCGAAATAAAAAAAAAAGTACACATCTACTACTATCTATATTTATTTATTTATTAGTGCGAAATTTTCGATCAAACTGCGCCAATGGAGATGATCCTTTTACAATCGACTGACCTATGAAAATTAATGAAGAGAAATTACTGGGGGAAATAAATTAAAGAAAAAAGAGAGATTTAGAGAAGGAATCAATAAATTAAAAAATTAAAATTAAATATTTAAATTTTAAAATTTTTTTTAAAAATAGGTAGTTGACACAAAAATAAATCCAAATTAAATTGCCGCAACAATTTTAGTTGAGGATTTTTTATATTTATTTAAATAGATCCATTTTATTATCATCATGTTACCAACGCTTAGCCTAATTTCAAAAAATTGCTCTTTACTAATCGCTCAAGGTCATTAAAATTGGATACTGATGTGATGAACATTTTAAAGAGAGAAGAGTGGAAGTTTTAATGTAAAAAAAGTATTTACTAGCTAGATTCTAAAATAAATAAGGAAATGTACATATAATCAAAAATAGATTAAAAAATAACTAATATACAAATTAATTAAAAAATTTATTTTAATAAAGAAATATTTTTTTCTTTGAAATATTTAATAAATATATTTCACTCACTTCATAAATAATTAAAATCACAAAATTGTTAAACAAAAAATAATTAGGATAAAAAATAATGTTACTATGTACATATAATATTCCTCTATTTTTTGTTTTGTAACTAAATATATTTATTTATTTATTTTTGTTACATTTCTTATATTTAATATTTAGGGAAATTTAATCTCTTATATTCTTAATTTAAAAAAAAAGTATTAAAACTTCGTTTTAGTAAAATATTTTATAATTTTTTTCTAATTATTTATTTCAGATTCTTTAAATATTTTTTAAAATTATTATTCCTTTTCTTTTTAATTTTTTTTATTTTCACTTTTTCCAAAATTATTTTTTTTATTAATTAATCGAATTTAAAAAATAAAAAATAAAGTAAGGCAGCCTTATGTCACTTATTGTCACCCATTGCTTAAATCTATAAAAGATGAAAAAGAAAATTTTGGAGGAAAAGCTTAAAAAGAGAAAAAAGAGGGAGAGAAATACATATACACACACACAATCGTTAAATATGTACTACATACTTCTACCTATATTTTCCATATTTTCTATATGTTTTGTCGAGAGCGTAAAACGAGAAAGACATGCTTTACATAATTTTTGGAAGACAAATTTTGTTGACTTTTTTTGGGGAGTTTAACAAAAATAAATATTTTTGTGAATGTTGGTTATTTTGTGTTAAATTTTAATTAAATTTATCAACTATTAAATACAATTTAATTTTTACTAAATTTTTCCTAAAAAATAAATTTTAATTTCCATTATTTTCCCTTTTAAATTACCCTTTTCCTTTACTCAAAAGCTTTTTCCGAAGCGCAATAATATTATTAGAATTGTACAAATACTGGATGGCACAAAATGGTTTCCTCTTAAAAATTGGCATACTACATAGTTAATATATAAATATATATTTTTTTTATCCATCCTCATTTTGTTTTTCTTCCTTATTTTTTTAACAAATATTTTTTTATTTTTATTACAAATTTATAGAATAAATATTTATTTTTTATTTAAATACATATTTAAAAAAATAAACAATTCCATTATTGACTATATTTATCTTCAATTAACATCAAATTTTATCTATTAATAAAAAATACCTAAATACTTTTTTTCAATATTTTTTCTTATTTAACAATTTATTTTTTAGTTTAAATAAATTAAATGCGTCGTCGAAGACGTACTTTATTTTTAATTACTAATTAATTTCGATTTATTTCAAACAATAAAAATATTTAAAAATGAATTTATTAATTTATTTAATATTTTTTCTATTAATTTTTGAAAAATTTAAATGTAGAGAACAACAAAGAGAAAGAAAATTATTACATTTGGGAATTGAAAATGTTTTTAAAATTAATTTTAAAAAATTAATATTTATTTAAAGGATCCAAATGTTCAATTTCAATGTAAAGGGGCTTTAGGTGATTATGCAGCGTGTTTATGTAATAATAATGTTAAAGAAGTTGCTTGTATTAATGCACAATTTGTTGATACAGCAATATTTCAATATATGCTTGGACATTATAAGTAAAAATAAATTAAATTAAAGATTGGGAATGTGATTTGGAAATGTTTTTCTTTCAAATAAGATAATCCCTATAATGACTGAATTTATGAATAGTGAATTATGAACTTTGAAGCACTTATCGGGAAATTTGAAGATAAAATTCTCTCTCTCTCCTATCAGCAAAATTATCAAAAAAATATATGGGAAGTTAAAAAATATTAAATTTAATATAATTATAGTGATATTGAACAATTAACTTTTCATGGAAATAATTTCCAAGACCTTCCAGATGGTTCTCTTTTTGGACCTGCAATACTTGAAAATTTGCGAGTTCTAAATATTTCTGCTAATGTTTGTTGAGAAAATAAAATAATTATTTTTATTTATTTTTAAGTATATCGTTAATTTACATCGAAATGCTTTATCTGGATGTCCAAATATTGAAATACTTGATTTAAGCAACAATGAGGTTTTTATAGGGGAACTTTATAAAAAAAATTAATTAAAAAATTCTCTCATTTTTATAATTAGTGGAAGGGAAAAGTAAAAGGAAAGGGTTTAGTTATTTAAAAAAAAAAGAGTACATACTAACTTTTAACAATAAATATTTTAAATTATTTCTAAATTTATTTTTAAATTAAAATCTTTTTTTAGATTGTCCTAAGTGAAGAAAATATTAATTTTCTTGATCATACTCCTCGATTAAAAAAAGTTTTTATTTTATATATTTTTTAAATTATAATTACATTTTTAAAGCTTTATTTGAGAAGAGCATTTACTACTCCCTTAAATAAAAGCAATCAATTTAATTTATTAATTCGTCTTCTAGAAAAAGCCCAATTAAAAAGATTAGAAGTTTTGGATTTAAGTTATAATTATTTTAATAATATTCCCTTTAATTTGCCATGTTCTTTACCTTCATTAAGACATTTGGATTTACGGTTAGTTTTTTAAAAAAATTAAAATTATTTTGGGCTTTGTTTTTACTATAGAAAAGGTCAGTCATGTCTCCACTTTAAGGCCAACCTTTTTTGAGCCCTAAGGGTTTTCCTACAATATTTTGAATTTAAAAATAATATTTAAATTATTTTATTTTTCAGTCAAAATATGTTAAAAACTTTATCTCTAAATATTTCTTGTCTTCCAAGAATTTCTAAAATTAATTTAGAAAGGTAATTTATTTAATTAAAAATTATAGAATAATTTTTTTAGAAATTATTTTCATTTTTTGGATTCAGAATTTCAAACATTTGCTGAACAATTAAATAAAAATAATGCTTTAACACAATTACAACTTAAAAATAATTTTTATTGTGATTGTAATTCAAATATTTGGATTAAATGGATTAGAGAACATTCGAATATGGTTGGTGGCTATTTAATTAAAATTAATTAAAATAAAATTTAATTATTTATATTAATTATATTAGCTAATATTCTCTTTTTTAATCATTTCTCTGCAAAAAAGTTTCTCTCTCAAGTTAATTTTCTCAATTTTAATTTTCCTTTCTAAATAAAAAATTTAATTATTTAATATTTTTTTAACTAAAAAACTAGATTGACGATTACCGAGCACTTATCTGTTCACGTTCTTCTCCTCCAAAATTTACTGGTACAAGATTAAGTGAAGTGTCAATTGAATTATTAGATTGCCAGACAGATTTATATGCTACAGGAAGAGAATTTAAAAATAATTTTGGATTTTTAAATATTTTTATTTTATTCTTAATTAATTATTTTTGCCAAAAAATTCCAAAATTTTAAAAAATTAAATCAAAATATATTTTCGATAATTATTTTGATTTAAATTTTATTGAATTATTTTGTGATTTTTTTGGGGGTTTCTATCGTCTATCTTACCCCTTAAATAAATATTTGGGTAAGACGAAGCTTAAAAATGTAAATATATTATTAATTAGTGCTGGGTATTTGCATTTTCAGAACTTCGAATTTATCTTCCAAAGCCACCATACCCAGCACTTTAACCTAAACTTAATTACCCGGTATATTATTACTTATTTTATATTTAATTTCAAAATTTGCTGTTTTATTTAAAATTGTATTTTCAATTTAAAATTATATGTATATTAAAAATTATTTTTATTTTTTTTATTTTAAATTCAATTAATTATTAACGCTACAACAGTAACTATTAAGTATATTTAAGTACTTTTAATTAATTCAAAATTTATATATTAATTCTTTTTTAAATTTATTTAAAAGTAATTCTTTTTAAATAAATTTTAATAAAAAAATCAAAAAAAAATTCTTTAAAATTAAAAATTTTCTCAATTTTTGTTGAAAGCTTTCTATAAATAAATAAATAAAAAATGTGAACAGATATATTAAATATTATAATTGGCTTTTTAAAAATTAAAAAAAATAATACAAAAATCTAAAATTACTTCTATAATTTTGTCCTTTTCTTTAAAAATTTATTTAAAAGTAATTTCTATAGAAAATATTTTTGGCAGACAAAAAATTTTAGTTCCAAAAGCTTTCCAACTGTTTTTCTTTTTCATTTTTTTATATTCCAACAAAATTATTAAAATTCAAATAAATTTTTGAAAAATCTTTCTTTTTTTATTCTAAAATATTTTTGTGTAGATTTTTTCTTCAAAAAAATTTTTGACTAAAAGAAAATCTTTTTTATTTATTAAATATTCTTTTATTTATTTTTTGGGTTTCAAATTTGTTATTCTTTTATTTTTCTTTCCTTGGCAACAAAAAATTGGAGAAATATATTTTTAAAATTATTATTATTTTGTACTTTATTTAGAGAATATTTTTGGATTTATTTAAAGCTGAGTTTTGTCCGTCTAAATTATTGTAAGGCTGGCGATTATAACGGAAGCTCCCTGTCCATTCTTTGGAGGAATGGACAGGGAGGATAAAACTTAGAGATGTGGGAAGCTTTTATGGCCAATCTAATTCAATCTTATGCCAGTTCAGGGATAAATATGCTTGATTTTCTATTTGGATGGCGAAACCCTTCAATTTGGCAGAAAATCTCGGAATTTCGAAATTAAAACTCCACGGTTAAAACTCAAATAATAATTAATTTTTTTCAATATGTATATTTCAAATTTTCTCACATTTTTTCTTAAAATTATATTGAAAATATTTTTATTTTCGCTAATTACATTTTTCTCGCAATTATATAATTTTTAAATAAAAAAATTTTTTAAATAACAATTTTTAGATATTTTCGCAATTAAATATATGTATCAAAAATGATTTAATTGGCGAAAAATATTTATTATAATATTCTTTTATTTAAAAATAATTAACTGACGGGTGAATAACCAGAAAACTCCCCCCGCTGTTTTTTGGAGGAGATAAAATAATTGGAAGTATAGGTATACATAGTAGATGACCTTTATTAAAATATATAAAGGCTTTTTAAATCTCAATATTTTAATTTAAATAAATTTAAAAATAATTATATATTTTACAAAAAAATTTTTTATTTCAAAATTTCACTTTACTTAAAAATTGCCAACCTTTCTTTTTTTACTTTAAATATTTCCCCCCTCTTCCGCCATCCTCCTCTTCTCCTCACTTTCAGTTTAACGACCACCTACCTATCTATTTTATTTTTTCCTTCCATTTGAGGAAATAGAGGAGGGCATATTTTAAGGTAAAAATAGTAGAAATCGAAGAGCTTTTTACTCGATAAGGAGGTGGATGGACTTTTATTTTGGACGATGCCGCTAAAATGTAAAAATAAGGTAAGTAGAATATTTTAAACAGAAATTATTTTTAATTTTCTACTTACATAATTTGTTTAACAATTTAAAATAAAAATATTGTTATCAAATAATTTTTATTTAAACAATAATATTTACACCAAAATAATAATATGTATATTTTAATTTCTTAAAACTTTCGTAAATATTTTTTAACTTTTAAAGTCAAAAAATTATTTTTAATTCTCCAAACAAACAAATAATTTTAAATAATTTTAATTAAATCCTTATATATTTTTTATAAAAAAATTAAGAAAAAAAAACAATTTTTTACTTAAATAAACAAACAAAAAATTACTAGGTCACTAAAATATCTTAATAAATATTTTGGCATTATTTTGGTATTTTTCCGGTCAAACTCCTCTCCTCTCTTCCTTCTCTTCGATTTTTTCGTTCATCTTCCTTCATAACCCTCCAAAAATTTAATAAAAATTTTTATTTAATTTTAATCTTCCCAACTTTTATTTTTAACATTTTTTGCTTCTCAATTTTTTTCTTCTTCCCCTCCATTTTAACCTATAAACGGCCAAAAATACGAACAGTGGCTGTGAGGGATGGATGGACAGTGTCCGCCGCTGTATATTTTGTGGTGGACAGATTTTTGACCGACAAGGAGGGGGGATTGGGGTTATTTTCTACAACAAATCTTTGGGGGGAAGAAAAGTAAACACAAAAATAAAAATACAAAACAAACACTCACTTGCCCTACAAAAATATATTTAAAAAGAAAAATATATTTTTAAGTGGCTACTAGTAAATATTTGGATTTATAAAATAAATTTAAAATAATTTTAATTAGAAAATTTTTTTTAATTTTTAGCCAATTCATCCCCCCCCCATTCCAATCATTTTCTTCTCTTTAAAAGTACTGACTGATGATGTGCTCTTCTCACAGCACAGATTTGCATTTTAGGAAAAAAGAAATTGAGAAGGGGAACGAAAAGCTAAAAATAAGCCAAGAAGTAAATGGAAGGGGGGAATTGACTTTTCCCTTCATACCTAAACCCATTTCCACAAATTATTTTCAATTTTATGCATTCTTGAGATGTTTTTTTCCTAATTTTTAACTAAAAAATGCATATAAGTCTGTTTAAATTATATGAATAAATAAATAAATAAATATTTTTGTTATTTTTTAAATGATTAACAGATAGAAATACTTTTACTTTAAAAATTAATTTTAATCATCTACACATAATTGTAATTAATTCTAAATTAATTTTAACCAATTAATTTATTTAAATATTAAATATACACACAAAACCAAATATATTTTTCCCATTTTTATTACAAAATGTGAGAAAAATAATTTTTTTATAATTTTATAGAAAATTAAAGGTTTGCGTGTTTGGGAAAATTTTTAAAAAATAATTTTGCAATTAAAAAGCCTTAAATTGTTAACGCGCATATTATTATAACCTTTTTTCTTAAAAAATGTTTTTTTTCACACATTTTTTGCCAAAAAAACCTTTTATTTATTTAAATAACAACAACAATTATTATTGTTTCCACCTATTTTGGCATTTTCTCATAAATAAATATAAATAATATTTTTCTAAATTTAATATTTATAAGAAATTTTTGTAAAATATTTTTCATAAGAAAAAATCAGACATTAATTATTTAATTTAAAAATAATTAAATATTAACTTAAATTATCTAATTCTGTGTATTTAATTAATTAATTCTATAATTTAAACAATTTTTTTTATTAAAAATACCTAAATTAGTCATTACAAAATGTACAAAAATATATTTTTACTTTGGGAACTGTTTTTACCAGTTGGGAGATAAAAATCATTTTTAAAAAATAATTTAGAAAAATATTTAGCAATGAAAAATAAAAATAAAATATTTAAAAATATTTTGAAAAAATATTCTCTTTTTTTTATTTTCCATGATTTTCTTTTTGTCTAAATAATTTTTGCATTTAAAATCTGTCAATCATTCACCCAAACATTTCATTTATTTTATAATTTTTCAACAATTGAAAGTTTTTTTTGTTTTTAGAACAAAGCCACAAACTTTTTTGTTTGTTGGCCAATCATTTCTTTTAAATAATTTGTCAGAAATTATTTTTTTGTTTTTTTTAACTTGAAAATAACTTTTTTGAAAAATCAAGAAAAATTCTTGTCTCTAATATCTGCAGGCACTGTTCAATTAAATGGCTAATAATTAATTAATTAATGCCCCCTCCCCTCCCCCTTCTCAAAATATTTAAAAATATTTAATCATCCATCCCTTTTTAAATACTATTTTTATTTCAATTTTATTTTTCTTTTTATTTGCAATTGGCTTTGATGTTGCCTTTTTTTGTTTGAAAATATTATTTATTTATAACCTTTTTACGATCCTTTAAAGGTATTTTGCCGTTGATTACTCATATTTTTTGTCTAATACATATGTATTTTCCTCAATGCATTTATGTATGTAGATTTTTTAGCTTTTTCTTTTTTTTTAAATAAATAGTCGATAAATAAATAAATTGATTTAATTAAAGTCCCCCCTCCATTCCCCATTCATTAATTAAATATTTTTTACAATAATTTATTTAAAAATTTAAAAAAAACTATTTTTTAATTAAAGCTCAAGTTTCAAAATCGGGATTTTCTTTAACAATAATTTTTAACCATTCAAGTTTATATCTGATCAGTCAATAATTAATGCTAGACAGAAAGACTTTTCTTTCCTTTTTCTCTCTCTTTATTTGCGCTCCCTCCCCCCCCCCCCTTCCCTCAACTTTTTATTTTTACAAAATTTTTAAGTAAAAGCTTTATATTAACTAACTAAATATCTAATGTAAATAGCTATATATATATTTGCCATAACACAAAGCTTCTTCTCTCTCTTCATTTCTCTCTCTCTACAATTGTTTGTACAGTTTGCTCCCGTATATTCTTTCTTCATCTCCTTAACGAAGAGGGATTTTGTGAAGAAAAAAGAAGAATTTCTTGTAAATTTACTTTTTCTAATCAATCCACTTGGCCTTGTTTTTACCTTTTCAAAAATTTATTTTATTATCAAATAAAAAAAACATTTTTTTAATTAATTAATTATGTAATTAATTACATGTGCATGATATGGAAAATAAATATTTACTATTTAATAATTCATATATCAACACAATTAGAGATCGGTCTGGATCTGGATCCAGTCTGGATTTTTGATCCAGAGTTTAGATCCAGGCATTTTTTATCGTCCAGGATCCAGATCAAGAATCCTATCCAGGTACTAACCTAAATCCAGATCCAGGATTTTTGAAAATATCGATCTCTAAACATAATAATTTAAAATTATTTTTTAAACCTGAAAGAGTTTTTTTAATTTGGTAAAATTCCGTCATATCACCCGGAAACCGATTCGGACAAAAGATATGTCATTCGAAAGATCTCGCCGAGCTGAGTCGAACGGCACCAAAATTAGCTGGGGGACTCACCTATGGGCCGAGATATTGGTCCTCGAAAATCGAAAAACCATAGGGGGGAGTAAGCACAATTTCGGGGTGAAAAATGCGATTTTTCGAATGATAGCTCATAGCTCCTCGAGCTGAGTCGAATAACACCAAAATCAACGAAATCCGACTTGATTTGACAAAGTTATGATCTTTTATTTTAGCTCCTTACCTATGGCATCTATGGAGATTTTTGCTGCTATGGAGGCCCCAAATACATCTAGAGCAAGGGAGATAGGAATAGGCTTAGGTTACGAGCCCAGACCCAGCGCCCGTAGACTCCCCGCGAGGCGCGTGCCGCAAAACCCCGCGCGAAGCGCGGGGTTTTCGCCGACACCCATAGGTTTACGCCGACACCCATAGGTTTACGTTGACCATTTTGAACCTGTTTATCTCGGCACAGAATCAAGATCTCGAGCTGGTTTTGGTGTTATTCGACTCAGCTCGAGGAGCTCTTTCGAATGAGCTATCATTCGAAAAATCGAATTTTTCACCCCAAAATTGTGCTTACTCCCCCCTATGGTTTTTCGATTTTCGAGGACCTATATCTCGGCCCATAAGTGAGTCCCCCAGCTAATTTTGGTGCCGTTCGACTTAGCTCGGCGAGATCTTTCGAATGACATATCATTTGTCCGAATCGGTTTCCGGGTGATATGACGGAATTTTTCCTTTAATTTTTACATTTTTTAATTTATTAAAGAGATTTACCAGTAATTCTGTTTCAAATTCTGATACAAAATTTAATGAATTACACCAAAAACATATTTTTATTTAATTTAATTTAGATACAAAATTTAAAAAATATTTTGAATTATTTAAAAATTTATTTTATTTTCAACAAAAAATGCCTGCTTATTTTTCATTTATTTTTCAAAAATTATTTTTAATTATTTTTATTTCAATTTCTTTAAATCTTTTTGGAAATTGTGGAAGTTCTTCTTTACATTTTGCTAATAATCAAGTAAATAATAATTTAAAAATAAATTAATTATTATTTTAATTAATTCTCAATTAGCGTCAATCAAGTAGTCCTTATGGAGAATTTGGGCAATATTATGGAAATAATGGGAGAAATGGAAATGAATTGGAATTGGCGGAATGGAATGGGGGTGGGGGTAGTGGAAGGCGTAGAGTTAATTTAAATTAATTTAAATTAAATTTAATTATTGTTTTTAAATTTTAAGTCAAATACAAGAATTTTATCTGAACAGCAACAACAATATAATAATAAAAAGAATTTAAATTATGGTAATTTTAATTATTTAAAGATTTAAAATTGTTAAAATTGTCTATCTAATATTCGAAAAAAGATATTGAAGGGTGGGGGGGGGGTCTCTAAACTTACTTGATCTTCCCATTTTCTATCCCCCCTCTCCCATTTTCTAAATTTCTAAAAATAATTTTAAATAAACTAAAATTATTTTTGGAAAATTAAAATAATGAATATATGTAAAAAAATAAATTTATTTAATCTTTTCTCTAAATTAAAATAATTAAAAAAAAAATATTTTTTTTAAAGAAATAGTGACAAGTGCAGCATTTATTTATGAAGATTATTGCACAGAAAGATGCCAAATTCCCTGTTCTCCTTTATTTGTTTTTCAAGAAAGAGATAAAGACCCAAAACTTCAATTTAATTGTGCTAAACTTAAACCTCCTGAACGGAAATTTCACGAAAAGTTGGTTGGAGCTATTTCTGGTGCTTCTGTTTTTGAATTTTTTGTTGCAGGAATTATTGTAAATAAATTAGATATTTATTTTATTTAATTTAATAATATTTAAAAAAATATTTAAAATTATTTTATTTAAATTAATTATTTATTTAAAAAAAATTTTTTTTTAATTCCTTCGAAAATTTTAAATAATTTTTCTTCTTTCCAAATAAAATTTATTTTTTATTTTTCTAGGCTTTAGCTATAGCAATTTGTTGTGTTTGTTCTTGTTATCAAGTAATTTCCTTCTCTAAATTTTCTCTTTATTTTCTTTATTTAGTGTTTATGTAAATCCTCCCCCCAAATTGTTCTTCGAAATCGACAACAACAAATTAATTTGGAAGAAGAAAATGAATTAAATAAGACAATTCCTCCAAATGGGGTTTTAATAAATGGTGGGGGTATATCAACAACAACAAGTACAGGTGTTAGTCCAGAACATGACCATTTAATTAATGAAAAAATTCCTCATATGTAAAAATAAAAATAATTTTAGAAATGAAATAATAATTTTTTAGTGATGAAGGAATACATCCAGCACCTCTTCCTAATTTAACAAATAACCAACAACAACAAAAACAACATACAAATTATATTAAACCAGGACATCATCATTATGTTAAAACAAATTTATTTAAAGGAGAACAACAACAACATTCTATTGTATAAATTAATTACTTTCTCCTCATTTAATGCTTTAAATTACAAAAATATTTTTAACTGCATTTTATATATTCTTTGAGAATATTTTATTCTTTAAAAATTAATTTTAAATTTTATTCATTTTAAAGATTTCCGTCTAAAAAACTTTAAAAAATATTCTTTAATATTTGAAGAAAAACAACATTAATTATGTAAACTCCCCCTTTCTTTTTTTAATTTTAATTAGAGATTGGAAATTCTAAATAATTTAATTAAAATTTTCTATAATTAATTTAAATTTTTAAAATATATTTTTAAATTAGTGTTAAAGAAACTTTTTTTGAATATATCCAAATATAGAGGACTGGTCCAATCTCTAATAAAAAAAAATTTAATTTTATTTGGGGGTTAAATTTATATTTTTTTATATTTTATAAAAAAGAAAGTTTCTTTTATCTAACCCCCTATCCCACTCAACAATTCTTTTTTGTTTTTCTCCTTTCGGGTATTGTATCTGAAATAATTTCCCATTTTTTGTTATACTTTTGCTTAGTGCAATTTTATATTTTAATTAAAAAATAATTTTAATTAAAATATATCCTCTTAAAAAAATATCCAACATTTAAATTAACCAGATTCTGCATTTAATTGTTTATATATAAAAATATTTTTAACTTTTTTAATTAACGCATTTTATGTTTTAAATTGTGCCTTTTAATTTTTTTGTATTTTAAATATTTTTGATTTTATGCATAAATTGCCATTTATTAAACATGGAATGTGTGGAAAGTATTAAATTAAAATTCAAAATTATTTTTAAATTTTATTTTTCTTTCACAAAAATATATACTTAATGTTAATAGTATTTACAATTTATTGTTGATTACTACAATTTTCTCCAATTAAAATTTTCTTTATTCGTTCAAGAGAAGATTGTGCTGTTTTCATTTGATCAACAGTCCTTACAAAATTTTATTTAAAATTTTAATTTTATTCAAAATACTAACTTAATAGCGTTATCTAAATCAAAACAAGCTCCTTGAATTTGTGAATTTAATTGCGACATTTGTTGTCTCCTAAAATAATTTTTAAAAAATATAACTTCAATTCTCTCATACCTAACAACTAATTTCGGAGCAACTTTATTTGTATGTTCTTGAATTCTATAAAGAGCCATTGAAGGATCGTGATCCAAAATATATAAAGATTCAGAAAGCCGTTCTGATACTTTTAAAAATTATTTTAATTTAAAATATTTAAATATTTACATTGTTTGGAACGGCTTTGTAATTCTCTATTAATAGCAGCCATCTTTCTTTTTTTAATAAAATTATTTTTATTTAAAAAAATTAATTAATTAAAGAAATATTTAAATAATAATTTTCTTAGATATATTAAAAATTAACAAAAAACAAACAAAAACAAAATATTTAAAACAAAACAAAATTAAAACAAAAAATCTAAAATTTTCCAAAATTTTCATTTTCTTTTTTCTGGTTTAGATGTCAGCTTTACTTGAATTTCTTCTGGATTTGATCCCAGCTTTAAAGTTTCAAGTGCTTGACTGGCTGTTTTGCCTTCTTTAAGTAATTGACTCATTTGGAAAAGTGTTTGTCCATATTCCTCTTCTCTTTAAATTAAAAATAAATTAAAATTTAAATGTTTAATTTAAAACTCACGTTAAACTTCCCCTATTTTTAAACATATCCAATTCCTCTTCTAATATACGTCTCTGAAGTGCTTTATCCTCCCAAATATGCCGATTTTCAAAGAATTGAAGTAAATCTTTTTGATAATTAATTTCTTTTTGACGTTTTTTAATTTCATCCAATCTTAAATTAATTTCCATTCGTTCTGTCTAAAAAAGAATAAATATTTTCAAAAAAATATTTCTAAAATATTTCTTACTTGAGTTTCAATTAATTTAATTCTTTTATTTTCCCATTCTTTAAATAATTTTTTCTGTTCATTCATTAAAGTAAATTCAAAACTTTTTTGTAGTGAAAGTAATTCTTTTTGCAATATTTCCCATAATAAAATTGGAGATTTATTTCCGTTATCGACAATGGATGAATAAATATTTTCTAATTTTGCCTAAAATTAAAAAAATTTTACAAGAAAACAAGACAAAACTTTGAATTTATTTTTCTAAATTTCCTAGTTTAATTGAGATTCTTCATCCGTTTTTCAGTACTTTTTTTATTTTTTAACAATTTTGGAAGACATAGATGTCTAGGGTTTTATCCAAAATAGATTTAATTTAAATATCTTCTAAAAGAATTGAGTGTAGATTTTATGTTCATTTCTCTCATTTCGTAAAGAAACGAAAAAAATGACATAAAATAGAAAAACAAAATTTCACACAAATCTGACCGAAACTACTAAAATATCTCCAATTAAAAAACATACAATTAATTCTTCTCCTTTCTGTTGATTTTCCAAAACATTTTCTTCTTTCTCAATTTCATTATTATTTTCACTTTTTCTAGTAGCTTCAAGTTTATTTTTCAAAAATGGAATTGCAATTTGAAGTGTTTTTAATAAAATAGGTAAATCAATAGGTGAAACTAAAAAAACAACATAATTTTTTTATTCAAAAATAAAATTACCCAAATTCTGAATTTCTTCAATTTTATCCAATCCTTGTTGATATTTTCCAGACAATAAAATACCCAAAAAACAAATTGAGGAAGTCAAAATATTTTCATTATTATTTTCACCAATTTTTAAATTCCAACTTAATAATTCTAATGACCGACCAATTAATTCATCTGTTTTTTGTAAATCAAAATGTCCATCAAAATGAGGAGTTTTTAACCAAGGAAACCGAAAAATTCTCTAACAAATAAATTTTTTTAAATAATTTTTTAAAACTAATTCCAAACTGACCACATTTTCCTCATTAAAGTCAATTTCTTCTTCAATAGTAGCTGCTCTTTGAGGAAATACACGTTGTTCAAACTCAGGGAAGCTATCTGGATTCTTTTTTAAAAATTTAAAATTTTATTTTTAATTTCATTAAAAAAACTTGTTCAATAAATTGAAGTAAAGATTGAACAGAAAGAAAATTAAGAAGAGGTTGAGAAAACATTTCTTGTTGCATTACATAAACAGCCAAACGTGCAGCACTTTGTAAATCATTTATATTTAAAAAATAATTTAAATATAAACAACAACAATGTTCATTTGGAAATAATCCAAAATTAATCTTTAAAAATTATTTAAGGTACTTTCCTGTTATCGGCCCTCCATTTTTTCTTCCTTTTTTCTCAGTCTAGTTCTGTACAGAATGGTCAGATTTTCTCTTTCTTAAATTCACTCCATTTCCCGGTGGCAACATTAACAAAGAAAAGAGTCCTACACACGAAAAGAAAGTTCCCAACAAACGTTCAATTTTCTGTGTATTCGGCGTGTCTTTAGGATTTTTTCCGCAACTTTTCTTCATTAATGTCTAATTTGATTATGCCATCGGGAAATGGAGTGAATTTGAGAAAGAAAGAAAATCTGACCATTCTGTACGAAACTAGGCTGAGAAAAAAGGAAGAAAAAATGGAGGGCCGATAACAGGAAAGTACCTTATTTAAATATATTTTACAATTAAAACAAACCGGATCATTCAAAACTTTCATAAAATTTTCAAAATCACCATTTTCAAGTATTAATCTAAATATTGCATACTCAGTTGATGGAAATAAATCTGTAGCATTGTCTGTATGCCTAAGTTTATAGCAAAGTTCAATTAAATCGTTAATTTGGTCATTATGTTGTGCCATTACACTCGCTATATCTAAATCAACAGCACTATAAAAATAACGATAAAATTGACTTTTATTTATTTAAACTAAAAAATAAATACCTAGCCTTTCCACCACCACTATACTTTTTTTGAACCAACATTATCCATTCTGAAGCATCATATCCAATTTTTAATTTTTCAATTTGTTTAAACCTTTCATTCCATTCTTTTTTAAGAGAAAAATTTTCATCACAAAATAAAGATGAAGGAGAAGATTCGGCCACAGCCCGCGCCACGGAAGAGAAATTTGTTAATTGAGGTAAAATAATTAATCCATTTTTATTGAAAAATATTTTGTTTGAAAACCTTTTTAAATTAAAATTAAAAACAATTTTTAAAAATATTTTTACCAAAATTTTCGTTGATTTTGAGTAAAAATATTTCTTTTTGAGGCAAATTGTCTAAAACAATTTGTTTGTGTATAAACGGAAAAATAACCATTGGAAAAACATCTCCTAGCCAACATTCCTTTTGACAAAAATAAAAAAATAATTATGAAATATAAAACATTTAAAATACTTAAAAATTGTTTAAAAACAACATAAAAAATTAAAAAATTATTCTATAAACATTTATTTCAATAACAAAAAAAAATTAAACAAAAATTTTATTTATCCAAAACCCTTTTCTTTTACTTTTCTTTTAATTTCTTCAAATTCTCCAAATTTAAGTTTGAAAATATCATTCGGCCCACAAATATATCCACTCTGTTTAAAACATTTTAGTAATTCGTTGAATTCAGGTAAAGTATTATATGCTAAATCTCTATACTGCAAAATTGCCATGAATTGACGTTTAGCATGGCAAATCTAAAAATTAAATTAAAAATTAATGTTTAAAAAATTATTCTTTTAAACCTCAAAATTCCACAAAGACAAATTAAAATCGCTTTTATGGGGTTCTGATGAGTGATGTAAAGGGTGTTGAAATGTTTTTGTTTTTATAATAACCTCGGGTTCTTGACCAATAAGTGTGTCAATTGATTTTCCAATCAGTAAACGATTAACAGAAAAAGATGGAGGAAGAAGAATAGCTTTAATTTAAAAAAACATTAAAAATATTCTTTAATAAATAAACATAGAATATGTCCAATTAAAATCCTTTGCCCATCATTAGAAGTTATATAACAAAGCATTTCAGGCTTAAAACCACATTCAATTAATTTTGAAAAATGCGCAGCAGCAATTAAAGCATTACCCCAATTTAAATAAGAATAGCCAAATTTTTGAGTCTAAAAACTTGGAAATTAGAAATATATATTTTTATAAAAATAATAACTTACAATAAACATTTGTTTATTCCATTCTCCAATTAAAATAGAAGTATCAACCAAAACAAAAGGTTCTTTAACTAAATTATTCTTTTCAACTTTTTCTTCATTTAAATAATCTCCAATACAAATATCTCGAACATTTTTATCATTTAAAGGCGCTTCATGTTTATAAAATATTTTATTAGGCCATTCTCGTATTTTGGAATTTGAACGATATTGTGTAGACAAGTAATAATTAACCTCACTACCAAATTGTTCACTTAATTGTTGTAAAAGTGAACGATGAAATTTAAGTTGATAAGCTTCAAGGCTATGGATTGGAGATTGTAAACTATGGAAATCACCGAAGAGACGAGCACGACAGGACTAAAAAGAAAAAGAATTTAACGTTTAATTAAAATATAAAAACCAAAGTAAGAATGTTATGCCAACTATCACATTCCTAAAAATTAATTTTTTCAAGAATTAACAGATTTCTATCTATATTCATACATTAATTCGCCCAGCATCGTCAGCCAGAAAAAAATCAAATGAAATTTTATTTTTAACAAAAGCATCCAATAAAGAATTACTAAAAGAATTTTAAAAGAATTATTCAAAAATTTATTAAAACCTTCCACTTGTGCAAGCAATCCTCCAATCATCACGTTCACAAAATTCTTTAACATTTGACAATGTTATATCCATTCTAACACTTTTATTAACAAATATTTCACGTAATTCAGCATCATCAATACAAGAATTTAACAATTCTTCATCATAACCATTAAAAATGATAAAATCTGTTTTTTTTGTTAATTTATAGTATTGAAGTAAAAATCTATAAAGATGTGTCAAAGAGATATTGCAAAGAAGTAAAATTCGTTTACCCTAAAATTTGCGGATTAAAAACATATAAAAAATATTTTTGTTAACCTGTCTAGCTAAAATGTCAATACATTCTAAAAGTAATCGACTTTTCCCAGTACCTTCTGCACCATGAACAGCCACTAAGGGTTTATTCATATCTAATACTGCTTCAATGGCAAGGTGTTGAGAATTATCAAAATGCTGAAAATTAATTTAAATATGGAAAATTGAAAAGAATTTTACATTTTCACGAAGCGAATAATTTAAAGGGAAAGGATTTGAATTCGGTATCCTCCTAATACATTTATAAGCGTAAAGCATCGTCTCGTAACCTGGTAAATCTTCCCATTCAGCTCCTCGAGTCATTAAAAATTTTAATCGTCCAATATTTGATTTAGAACCCCATTTTTGAATTAAAAATGATTTTCCCTTAAATAAAGAATTGTTTAAATAATCTTAAATTTTAATTTATTCTTTTTAATTTACTTACTTCAAATGAAGAGAAGTCGATATTTCTATCCTCTTGAATTTGTACCTCAATAAAAGATTTTGTACGTGAAAGTATAACGCCTAACATCTCCGTATCGTTATTTAAATTTGTATCTTCGCTGAGTCTAATAGAAGTTCCAGAAGCTAATATTACATTAAATGAAGTCTTTTCATTTCTAGAAAGCTGGAAATTAAAAATAACTGTACCGAAAAAGGAGAATGTCAAATCCTAAGAAACCCCACATTTAAAAGATTATAAGGTCCCCCAACAGACAAAAATTAAAAACTCACATTTTCAGTCGAAAGTAATAATTTTGTATATTTTTTTGTTATATAAACATTTTTGCATTCTAATGAATAAACAGACAAAATTTGTCTACTTTGAGATGCCAAAATTTCTGCTCGTAACGCGCATTCCCATTGAAGACAATCCCTTTGAATAACATGTGGTAATGACCAAGGATCTATCCGTGCAATATTTGCATTGAAAGGTGCAGGAATAACAGACCATTTGTTGAAAAATCGAAGTGAACCTAATAAATTATCAAACTTTGAAGACAATGGAGAAAATTTTTACCAAGTTTTAAAGTATTTTACCTTTCGAATGTTTTAAACAAAAAAGCAATAAATCTCCTAGAAAAGGAGATGAAGTCGAAGCAAATTTCATTTCTCATAAGGATATACTTTCAAAATGACAAAAAAACGTCAGATTAACTTTAGGATTAAACCTCTAGCAAAAATTATAAACGTTTCTATCGTTATCGTAAAAAATATATTATTAACAAACAGCAAAATAACATTTAACTTTTCATTAAAACATTTAACAATTATCAAATTTTTAGGAAAGTCCAATATCTTTAAGCTTCCAATTGCTGTCCTTGTAAATCCTTCAAATGCAACAAATATGCCTTTTTGTTGGCGACACGATGTTTACGCTCACGCAAAGTTAACTTCTTAGCATTCCAACGTTTCTTCTCTGCAGGCTTCTTTGGTTCTTTCTTTGTATGTGAAGGATCAGCACGAATCGCCTCGTGGGCTTTCTTATAAATACCCTCAATCTTAAATAAAACTCATTTTATTAAAATGATCAAATATAAAATAACCGAATCTGGTTCTATGCCTTCTTTAAGAAATTTAGAGAATTGGCGTTTATACGCCTCTTCGTCTTGCTCCTTCAAATATCTAAAAAACAAATTAGAGAATTAAAACAAATCTAAATTTACTTCATGTAATCGGCCACGTGCTTCCCAAAAATACGATCACGGTGTGCCTCAGCATTATACTGCTTTGACTCATTGTCGAAACCAAAGAAGCGAGACTCACTAGAAGTTTTGTATATTGGAATTATAAGAAATCAAAACCTGTGAGGAATATGGATCCCACCATCAGCAACACCTTTCATCACAGCAAATATCTTAGCCCCAGTGGTAGTCCTTGCTAAACCAACATCCAAAACACAAGTAAACGGATTTGGATTGCTACCCTCAACATCATAATATTCTCCATCAACCTCTTCCTTTCCCTTATAAACTGAATCGAGTTTCAGTTTTTGCAAATGACGGCGTGCTAACAATAGTCCCGTTGCATAAGCAGCAGCATAATTGGTAAGGCCAAGCTATAAAAATATTCATTAAAGACGTATATTAAAAATTTGAGCTCAGAGCAAACTAATAGTAAGAAAACCTTGATGCCGTAACGTGGAAGCTCATGAGAATAAGCAGCATTAACGATGATGTCGCCCTGGATCCGAGAATAAGCAATCTAAAAGATTAAAATTTCAACAATTCAGTGCTGGATATAAAGGCAAAAAAACCTGTGCAGTAACTCGCTTGTTTGTAAAACGCACAATAAGTCGATACTTGGGCGTGTTGTACTTATTCTTGTCTTGGACAGTTAGACGTTTGCGTGCATAGTAATCAGTTTTGCCCTGACGTCGTCTCTTGAATTTAACTTGGAAGCGTTTGAAGTAAGCGCGATTTTTGACTACTTTAACGAGAGCCATTTCCTTGTGTTATTCTAAATTTGAGTTTAGACAATTGAATAAAAATGTATTAGAAATAAAAATTTCGTAAAGATACGAAATAAACTTTTAAAAATAATAAAATTTAGTTTAATAGACAACATTTTTAATGTCTAAATAACAATAAGCAACAGAATTTAAGTTTAATGACATCTCGATTTGATTTAACATCTGCCTTAACGTAAACGACGCGCCTCACGTTCAGCCTCCTAAATGTTTAAAGATTGAAATATGAAAGGAAATAATACAAATTACCAATAAAGTAAGAATGTCCCCTTCACGAACAGGACCCTTCACATTGCGAATGATTGAACGGTTGGATTCATCCAAAAATTCAACTCGGACTTGTGTACATTGACCCTGACTTCCGGTACGACCTAAATGGAAACAATAGAATAAACTTTTTAAAATACAAACCAAGAATTCGAGTAACTTTTGCCATCTTTGTAGGTTTTTCCATTAGACTTAATTGAAGGAAACGATAATAAAACCTAAAAATGAACTGTGAAGGTGTAAAATTGAATAAAGTAAAAAAGTTAATATAAAACAACAAAAAGATCAAAAAAGAAAAATATTTATTGATTTTTATTCAGAGCAATAAGATTTTGTCATTTACATATCCAACAAAAAAATAATCGTCTCAAAGAGAATTAAGTGTTCTCTTAATGTCCATACTTCTGGAACTCCCAATCACGATTGTCAAGTGGACAGACCTAAATAACAAGCCAAAGATTAAAGAAAAGTCGTAAAATTCTATACCTGTCGTGTGCGAAGCCAACGCGAAATACAATGAAAGTGAAATGCGTGATTGCAAACACCCCAAGCAACAGTACACTCCTCATTCGTTGAAGATGCCTTAAAAAGAAGATAAAAACATTTATTCGTTAATAATTCAAGTTTACTTGATTTGCCTGGCATTCAATGCACAAATCCATAATATGATTACGGCAAATAGCACAAGTGTCCACTACAATATCCCAAGCCCAGAGAGCAACGGCATTCCACTTTTTAACCTAAGAATAGCTTTTAAGTTTTATTTAAGCCTCAAAAACCTCAAAACGCTTTTTAAGAGCAGTATTTGACGATCCTGAAGATGCCACTTCTTCGACTTCCATTTTTGCATCAGCCATGTTTTGTGTCTTTGCCTTAGAGTTTTATTAAAGTCAAATTATCTACAAAAATATATAACATTATATCACACACGATAATTGCCAAATTCGCTTATAAAGACTACCGAAACAATGATAAAAAAGTAGAACAAACTTTCGTCAAGAATTTATCGATGAAAAAGCAAAGAAATACGGACACTTTGCTGCGACTAGTTTGTGCAAGTCTATTTTGTCGCAGAGTAAATTTTTCCGAGAAAATACAAAAAATTTCTTAAAAATTTTTCTTTTCGTTAATGGAGTTTATTTTGTCGCAAAATAAATTGTAACGAATCATAAAATGTTTCGATAAAGAACTTTTTTGTTGTTTGGAGAAATCAATTTTTAAGGCAACAAATGGGAAAACAATAAGCCCGTTATATTTTTAAAAGAACTTTATTTGTATAAAATCACAAATTTTGAACTAAGGAAAGCTAAAGTTCAACCTAAATGAACACTTAACCTAATTGAATCAAAAAATCGACAGTTTTAAAAATTTATTTACACACAATAGCAATACAACTTCAAATATACAGGCAACAAAAAATTAAGTGAACATATACATACAAACAAATATACAGTCAAGAAAAATATCAACAGGTTTATCTAATTAGCATCTCGATTCATCTGGTTCTAAACACGTCTTTGTGTAGTCGATGTTGGGAAGCTGTCGATTTGTTGTTCGCCTTCAGCTGGCACCTCTGGTTCCTCGGCAATTTCCCAGTCCATTTTTGCTTTCTTGTCGATTCCCTGTTCAGTGATTATCTGCAAAATGAATTAAGAAACTGATTATTTGACCCAAAAATTACCCTCTCAAGCACTCTGGCCATCTCCTTGTAGGCAGGTGCATCCTCGAATTTGAGTTTGATGATGGGACCAATCAGCTCCCTGTATCCTTGAGGGCAGCCATTGAGGAAGTCGTCCAAGTTGCTGAGTGCTGCCAGTTTTGCGTTGTAGACTGCGGCCCGATCTAAAAATTTGAAGTTATTAGGATTTCGCGTTCAAATTATTAACGAATATTTTCTCACCTCTCTCTGCTGACCATGGGAGCGATCCCTTTGTCATCTCAACAATCATGTAGAACCAGCTCTCGACGTCATCCCTCCGCGCCAAGTCCTGGTGTTGATGAGCACTCCGCGAGCCATATCGAGTCGTCCCTCTCCATCCAACATCTTGTCTGGCGGCGATGATGTTGTTATTCTGAAAAAAGAAATTATTGAAAGGAAGAACTGCTGAGGCACACACCGCGTCCTTGTACCGCCGACACAGGCCGAAGTCAATCAGATAGATGTTGCGTATATCGTCGCTTGTCGTTTGTCCTGTGACAAAATTCCCCGCCTTGATATCCCTTGAAATGAAGCCGCATACTTCATGGAGTTCCCTGATGGCCTAAAAAATAAAAAGACAAATTATTGCATTAAGAATTTTTTAAAGGCAAAATCTTCTACCTCAAGAGTGACAAGAGCAACACGCACAGCTGTCCCGAGTGTGAAACTGCCATTGTTCCGGTCCTTCCGCAGTCTGTACAGGTCGCGTCCTTTAAGCTCCATCGCAATGAATGAGCAGCCTCGACTTTGAATGACCCCCTAAAAATTAAAATCAGTTAGATTGGCCAAAATTAAAAACACGATATAACTTACATTGTCAAAAATCTTCGGAATGTGGCGGCAGTTCTTATCCTTTGCTGTTTCGAGCACGCGGGCCTCGATGTCTGTTGCTCCTGAACGTCGCTCCAGCTTGACCGCGAGTCGCTTTGTGTCCTGCTTTTTTCCCTTTGAGATGGCGTCGGCCTCGTACACTTGTCCATATCCACCATCGCCAATCAGCTCCTCCAGCTTGTAGTTGTACCTCTCCGACTCGAAGATGAAGCCTGCGCGGACATTCAGATCGCCTTCCCTGGGACGGACTGACATTGCAACGAAGTTGTCGACGAGCAGAGCACTGAATGCGGAGAACGAACGGCACTGTTGGTCGTAAAATGGTCGACGAGCAGCAGGCACTGTTGATTGTAGAGAAGGATGATGAGCGCTGTTGTGAAGAGAGTTAAGTGGTAACTATCACCGAAAATTTTATCCTTTTATACATATACTCGGGCGTGAAACCAGGCAACCGGATTGCTTCTCCTAATAACTAATACATATAAAAGACCTGAAAAATCGCTCACGTCTAAGACGCGGCGGTCACCACTTTCACAACAGACTGGCATCTTCAACATTGCGGACAAACGGTTGCGGACATGCGGAAACCAGGCATCCGGATGCGATAGTACCCACAATAGTACCCATCCTATATAGTTCTCATCCCTCCATTAAAGAGGATCGCTAACATGGCTGAAGACGCACGTTCCATTCTTTTACGCAATGCCGGTTTTTGGCATCGAGAATGCGCTCAAGAATTTTAATTTTTTGGTATCTTATAGAGTTTAATTCTTGAATATTTGCAAACATAAAATAAGGCTTAAAATGGAATTTAATTTTTTAAAATTAAAAAGAAAATATCTTTTATTTAATTAAATTAAAAATAAATTAATTTTTTAGTCTGAAAATCCAGCATAACTTTTAAATGAACGTTCTCTATTAATTATATGTGTTGTTAATATAATTAATCGAAAATCACAGTTTTGAGCAAAACAGCGAAGAGAGGCAATTTCAGCAAACTAAAAATGAAAGGGGCTTTCTTCCAAAAATTTTTTTCAGAATTAATATTTTTAATAATTTTCAAATTGAAAAAAAATAAAAAAATTAACTGTAACACCCCCAACAAAACAAACAAGTAAAGCACGCCGAATTCGATTGTCTGGAGCTTTAGCATTTGGATTTGTACAAAATACTGAATCTTCTCCAATAACTTTTTTTAAATAATTTTCATCCCAACCCTTGAAAAATTAAATAAATTTCTTTAAATCTCTTTTTAAAAACCTTACCATAGTCACAATTCTATCAATTATAGAAGAAATTAAAGGAATATAAGTATTTGAAAATACATAACCTAAACCAAGATTATTTTGATTTGTTGATGTTTCAGAAAAATCTTCCAAATTATTTTCTTTTAATTTATTTATTCTCCTTTTTTGTTCTCCCTCATCATTTTGTGGAATAAGTTGTAACCCATTAATTATTGAACTTAAAAAGATTTAAAAAACAAAAAAAAAAATTTTTTACTTTAAATTTTCAGAAATTTGTCCTTTCATTTCATTTTTTGTCGGAAAATTAATTGCCGCCAATTGTTTGTCAGGTTTGTTAATCAAACGTTTGGAGAAAGGATTACGTGCTTTAAATAAAGGGGAAAAAGAAGTGTTGTTTTTATATAAAAGGCCATTTATTGATAATTGATAGAAAATAAAAAGTTGATCAAATCCATACCTTTAAAAGAGGGGGATTTAATTTAAAAATTAATTAGAAAGAAGAACTAAAATAAATTTGACAGAATTTTTGTCAAAAATTAAAAGAAATTATTTTAAATTAAAAATCAAAACCTATGCAAAAAAACTTCTTGAAATTGATAAAAATATTTTTCAGGAATTCCATTTGCCCGTAAACACCAAAGGGATGCCAATTGTAAAATACTCCATTGATTATATTTTAAAGTTATCATTTTTAATAAATAATTGAAAACATCCAAATGCTAAAAAATAAATTAGAAAAGAATTCTTTCCTCAAAAAAACCTTAAATTCTCCACGTAAAATTGTATTTTCAATTGAAAGTTGTTCATTTAATCCCTGTGTTTTTTCAATAATATATTCACAAGCACAAATATGCTAAAAAAATAATTTTTAAAATTAATTAAAGAATCCAAACAATTTCAAGTTGTTTTTGTTGATCACGCAGAGAATCAAATTCGTTTGAAACAAAAATTTTCATTTCATCAACTTTCTGAATTGCTAAAAATTTTTTAAATATTTTCTTAATTTTCTAGACAAACAAACTCGAAACTTTAGCAAAACTTGATTGTAAAGATTTGTATTTTTCTCTCAAAAAAGGAAAAACTTTTGTCATATGTGAATTACGAATTGAAGAAAAAATTAAATCAGAATTGTTTAAAGGAAAAGAAGATTTTTGGGGAGGAAATTCTTCTTTTGATGAATTTTGTGAAGAAAAAAGTTTTGAATTGACTGTTTCACCAAAAGAAATTTTACCACAATTGTAATTAAACATATCATTTAAAATTGATTCGTAAGTGAGGCCTGTAAGAAGAGTTGAAAATAAATCAAGTCTTCGATCAAAAATAAATCTGAAAAATAAATTGAAAAAATTACTTAAAAACCCTTACAAATGACTGATAAATTGACCAGAAGAAAATGTTGGTTCCCCTAATTCATTACAAATTCTTTTAAAAAGTTTATCAAAAATTGGAAAAAAATCTCCAAAACCAAAAATTGTCTGAATTTGTCCATAAAGTGTTTGGAGTTGCCAAAAAGTTTTAATTAATTCTTCAAAATAACGATTAAACATTTCTGGAGGATATTGAGGTAATTCGAGAGAAAACAAATCTGATTCTCTTAAAGAAATTTTTTTGTTTTTAGTAAACATAAATAAATAAAATAAGAATCTAAAGAGGTTATTGGTCCCCTTTGATATTATTTAATGAAAATATGGGGGAGAATGTTTTTCGAGATGTCGATCTCATTCTTCGTAAAACCCTCCCATTTTTGTGTGTAATCCAGTCAAAAACACTTGGAGTTGTTTCATAAATTAAAAATTTAATTTTAAAGAAAAAACTCACAAATTAATTAATGTTAAATTAAATTCATAAAAATTAACAACATTTCCGAGTCCATTTTTTTCAAGTTCTTTCAGAAAAAAATTTTTAAGGCTGCCAACATGAATTATAGAATAAGACTTTTCAGGTTCTGACCGAATTAATTCACAAATTTTACGAGAAATTGCAATTGAAGGCCGAATAAAAAATATTCTTTGTTCAATTTGTTCATCCCAAATATTTGTTTTATCTAAATAAAGTTGTTGAACTTTTTGACAATTTAAACTTCTCAAGATTTTCATTGAACATATTTTGTCTAAAGGGCGAAGAAGATTTGATTCTACAAATAATTCTTTTGAGCCAGGAATGGAAACAAGTAAATGAGTTAATTTTTGTTGATCCAATTTTGTAATAAGTGAAAATTCATCAAATTCGTCCATTGAAATTTACAAAATAAACAATTACAGAAGAAATACATAAATTAAAATTTTTTGTAGGTAAATATGAAAATTTTTTAAAACACTTCAAGCGCTGCAAATTTAGGAGGACGATTGAGTATAATTTTCGAATTTGTTTAACAATCATTTTTTCATTTTTAGTTTTTCTTAATTTATTTTAAAAAATTATGGGACGTAGAAATCCTTTAAAACGTTTGTTCGGCAACCCAAACAATGTTAAATCTGAAATTGTGGGTCAGTTTATTTTCTATTTTTCAATAAATTAATTAATTTTAACAGATTTACCTTATTCACTAAATGGAGATATCCGAGAATTGCTACTCAAAATTGATGTCAATGACAATAATGCACTTGCAATTGCGAATGTTCCATATTATATAGATGGGGTAAAAATAAAGTTAAAAATAAACAATTAAAAATACATTTATTAGAATATCTTGAGAAAAATATTTTCTGACATTCTCGAAGCACCATTAACAAATATACAATTTATTACTTCTACAGCACCAAATAATGATATGAAATCAGTAAATTTATTTTCTATTTTTATTCTTCATTATTCGTTTTAGGGCTATAGATCAGGCCGCATCTTCTTCAATACAATTCAAGATAAACGGCGAGCTTTTGAAACTGCCAAATTAATTAAAAAAGAGGGAAGGACAGTTGAACTTGAAAAGTTTGGAGTGAAATTGCCAGCTTGGCACAATTTAGCTGGAAAGGCATTAAAAAGAGGTCTAATTTAAACTAGAATTTTTTAAAGAATTTTAATTAATTTTAAGAGCACAATCAAATTGGGGAGGACGGTGAAGAATTACCAAAAGCGGTAATAATTTATAAAATTTTTTGATTAACATTTAATTTTTTAAGAAAAAAATCAAAAATGAAAACAATGATGATTGGACGTTAGTAACAAGTAAACGTAAGTTCTATACAAACTAAAATTTAAATCTAAATTTTATATAAATTTAGACAAATTCTCATTTCGAGGGAAAATTAATCAAAATGTTAAAGGCAAGTAAATGAAATAAAAAATATTTTTCATGAAATTTGTTGGTTGTTTTATTTTAAAAGAACATTTCAAATTTATAAAATTATATTGTTTAAAATACATAAAACTTTTACAAGGCAGAGATCTCTTTATATAAGAAATTAAAAGACTTGAAAGGCATTATATTGATAAATTTAGCGATTAAAGGCAGTCTTAAATAAAGATTGTACCATTATATTTTTGCATAATGCACAGATTCTATTTTAATTACCACGTATCAGACAAACTATCATCGTCATCCAAATCCTTCTGATTTTTATTTTCTTTACTAATATTTTCTGTTTTGCTGCTTTCTTTTCCAAGAACATGTTCAGAAAATGCATCAGATCCATAAGGTAAAAATGTAGACTCTTCAAAATTAAAATCATTTCCATAATTAATATTAAATTCTTTATTCCATCCATTATTTTTTGATTTAAAGTCATTTTCATATCTAGAAGAATAAAAATTCTCTCCATTTGCCCATGTCAGAAGAAAGTCAGGAATTAATTGGTTTGCATCAGTAAGGACCTGAAATATAGCCAATTTTTGAAATTTTAAAGAGATTTAAATTTATGAAATAATTATTTCAGTATTCAAATATTTGAAAACCCACTTGTACATAATAATTTGCTCTAGACGTATTCGAAAAATTTGTTGGGTCAAAAAACGAAGTAGTCAATCCTGAATTTCCCGCACGGCCAGTTCTTCCAATTCGATGAATATAAACTTCAAAATCATTTTCATTTTCTGGCAAATCATAATTTATCTAGAAAAATAAAAAAAAGGAATTTAAAGCCGACTTTTTAGAGGGTTTTTCTAAAGTCATTTTTATCAAAACGGTCAAAAAATTAATCTTGTCTTTTGAGAAAACTGCTTAAATAAAAGAGAATGGTAAAGAAAAAGGTCTGCCGAAAAAGAAAACCCGTCTTCTTTACAATTGCAAAAAAATTAAATAACTGACCACATGCTTAACATCAGGAATGTTAATACCACGAGCAAGTACATTAGTCGCAACCAAAATATGGAAAATTCCTCTTTTAAATTTTTCTAACGCCTCAAATCGTTGTTTTTGAGAACGGTCACTAAAAATATTTGAGAAAAAATTAAAATATTATTTTTACCCATTAATGCTCATAACTTTAAATTTTTGATAAACAAGACCAATTGCAATTCTGTCAGAATCTCTTTTCTCTTCAACAAAAACAATAGTTTTAAATTCTGGCACTAAATATTCCTCTAAATATTTAATATTTAAAGAAATTTTTAAATTTAAAATAAAAACCTCCATTTGGTAAAATCTTTCGAACAGAATTCTTTTTAAGCATTTCAATTAATAATTCAAGTTTGTCATGTTTTTTAACCTAAAATTATATTTAAAATCAAAAATTATTTAAAAAAACCTCTATAAACTCCTGTCGAATTAAGTCAACAGCTTTGTTCATTTTACCAATTCGAATAAAATAATAACCAGATTTTAAATGATTTTGTGCAAGCATTTGCACATCATTACTAAATGTTGCACTAAATAATAACATTCGATTATCTGGATACTAAATAATTTAAAAAAATATAAATTTTAAGAATATATTTTCTAAACTTACCAAATTTGGATGACTTTTAACTTCATCAACACTTGCAAAAAATTGACGGTCCTTAAAAAATAAAAACAATTTTTTAAAATTAAAAACAATTTTTATACTTTAATTAATTTGTCTGCTTCATCCAGAACAAAATAACGTAAACTAGCCAATTTGATCTTTAAATATTTCTATTATAAAAAATTGGCAATCCCAAAACTTACATGCCCATCCATTACATGATGTCGAAGGCGTCCACAAGTCACTACAAAAATATCACATCCTTGGTCTTTTAAGTCTAATGTATGCCGCATAGGAATATCGCCTTAAATTTTTAAATAAATTTAAAAAATAATAAAATAACCATATGATTGTGCAACACTAACGTTCGTTCCTAAAAATTTTAAGCAACATTAATTTTAAACATTTTTAATATTTAAAATCTATTGAAAAAATTTATTTTAAAAAATATTCAATTCACAGACTTGCAACAAATGAACGAGTTTCTTCATAAAGTTGCTGAGCTAATTCTCTAGTTGGAGACAATATTATACAATATGGCGAGTCTTTGTTCACCAAAGAATTGGCCCTATTTCCCAAATTATTTCTCTTCAAGTCAACAATTCTTTGAATTTCATTAATAATTGGTAAAATAAACGCAGCCGTTTTTCCACTTCCAGTTTGAGCATGTCCCATAATATCTTCTATTATATTAAAAAAATTAAAACAATATTTAAAATTAATATACGTCTACTACGCATCACTAAAGGAATAACAGCTCTTTGAATCGGAGTTGGAAATTCATATTTTCGCAACTTAAAAATGTTAATCTGACTAAAAAGTATACAAAAGACAAACTTTAATATTTTTTTCAATTTCTTTAGAGAATCCACATTGGTCAAACTTACTGAAAATAAAAGTTTTCAATTGTTTAAAAAGTAAAATACGTTATACGATAATTAAAAAGGTCGCCACGATCCGTTGAGACGATAATTTCATCGTCATGTTCTGCCCCATAGAGCTCATCAAAATATTCACCCTAAAGATTTTAAATTAGCTTTTGGAACTAAAAACCTGCTGGATATGCTCCTTCTCATTAAATAGGTCCAACTCACTTTTCTTTTGAGGAACAAATTTTTGGCGACGCATTCTCGGTAAACGCATTTCCTCAGACCCTTCACGATTAAAACCTAAAAACTCAACAATAATACTCCACTTAAAATAATCACCATAGCCACGTTTCACGCGGTCGAAATCTCTCGAACGATCATCAATATAGTCTGAAATTATAATCGAATACTTAATGAACAAACTTTATTAGACTTACCAGAAAATTTAATATAATCTTTTTCATTGCCATTTAATGTTGATCCATTGTATCTTAAAACAACACAGATAAAAACATCTCTAAGTAATTACCTTCCATCACCACCAAATACCCGCCTTGCTGATGTCATTTAATTATCTTATTAAAATATTAGCACAAATTTTCATGATAGAAAAATAAATAAATCACAGATCGTCATCAACAAATTAAACAAGAATTAAAAAAATATTTTTGATTAAATTTATAAAAAAATAGCAACATATTCCCGATGAAATCACTCTTCTCGTTTCTCTCTAAAAGCATCCTAAAAAGTTTGAGAAACTTACAAAAAATTTTTTTAGAAATTACCCGAAATCGCTCCTCTAAAAGTGACATCTCTGCAATAGAATCGGTTATTGCTGAATCAAGTGCTTCAGCTGGAGTTGTAGTTGCATCAGTTTGCACTCGCAAAAGAACTTTATGTACTAATGGATGAGGATTTCGATAACCAGCAAAAAGCACACGAGGATCTTTTAACAACTGACTGGAAAATGAGAAAATAAAAAAATAATTTTTAATCGAAATAAACTCACTGTTTAATCATATTACCCAAAGTATGGTCTTCTTTATTTAAAGTAAACACTGCCGCATTTGGAACTTTTGTATCTTTTTCAATTTCAATCTTTTTTTCTCCCTCATCAAGAAGAAAAGATTCATAACGTGGAGGAGCATTCATTTTTCTTTATTACTTAAATTATATAAATGGAAATTGTAAAAAAATATAATATCAAGTAAAAAACTGAAGTATAAAATTTAATGGAAAAAACAAAAATAATCCAAACTTTTATAAAAATAATTCATTTATAGACAAAAAGAGGTATAGAATGTAAATTCGAGTCAAAACAATTCATATGTGAGCAATTATGCAATTGGTGGATCAATATTTAAATCACAAGAGAAGAAAGGCACAAAGTTAGTAGAGCAACCCATGCAGAAAATAAAGAGAAATTTTAAATATATTCAATTAAGCAATTCTGTTCCATCTTAAGGAAGATTGAGAGGATGGACTTCTGGAAACTTAGCAGTGCTGACAATCTGATCAATTATAGGCAAAATCTCATTCTTGAATAAGCAAAGTTGCGTTGAATTCATTTGGCCAGTGTAGAAAGAAGTTTTTAGTTGAATCTTAAAATGAAGACAAATTTAAAAAATGATTTAAAAATTAATATTCAATTAAAATCAAAATAATTTAAAAAAAATTATACATGAAAAAGTGCATTTCTACAAGCTGTACAACGCTCAAATCGTTTTTCAGCCTCCACATCAACTCCAATAGTAAATTCCTGTGATGCAAGACCGTGAACAATTGCATTGCCAAATCGTGAAGTGACCATATTGAGAAAGTTAAGTCCTAATTGGACGCATTCTTTATTCTTGTGAACGAGAAGAGAATCTACACGCGACAAAAAGATCTCGTTTAATGTCATGCTGAAGCGTTTCCGTTCCATATATTGATCAAGTAGAAAAGCAAACGCGAGTGGATCATCTACACGAAAAGTTTCTTTCACAAGAAACTCCACTAAAATATTTTGTTCTAAAAAAACATGAAAATAATAAAAATACGGGTATTTCCATCTACACCATTTGATCGAGAGAGAGAGGCCTTTATGTCATTTGTTCGCTTCAAAACCTTAGCACGAATCTTTGGATCTTGCTAAAAATTTATATTGTTAAAAAATATTTATCGTTCAGAAAACATCATTTACCTGCAAGAATTCATCAAGTTCGTCATCCGAATCAGACTCCGATTTTTGACGATTGTTTCCAATAACTGTCATAAATAGAATTAGAATAATTTGATAAATTACTTGCTGAAGAGGTAGAGAATTTTGAAGCGCGGCCCTTCTGAGCTTGACTTTTTGAGCGATTCTTCAATGTAGTTGATGAACTAGTAGGCATATTGTTATAGTTATTGCTATTGATAGGATCAGAAACGTCGTTTAAAGAACTTCCTCGACGGAATAATTGTTTTTGAGTAAAATCACTGAATAAATAAATTTTAATTCAATTGAACTTATTAATCAAAAAAGTAAATAATTAGGACAACTAGAATAAATACAAATCGAGACAAAATGGTATTCCTATTTTCAAAGGAATAAATAAAAATTTAGTCAAAAAATTTAAATATGTAATGCTTTAAATGTTTAAAAATAATGCCAAACGAACGCAAATTTTAAGGAACACACCCAAAAGGCGCGGGCAAAAAAAGGCGCGACCGAATAGGCGCGCGGCCTATTAGGCGCCAAGCTTTTTAATTAAATATTGAACAAACCCAATTTGATATTTGAACTTGTGGAGAAAATTAGAGGAAATTTAGTACAAGTATTATACTTGTGCATTTGATTCAATAATAAAAATGCGAATTTCTGACATTAAGTTTTAATACAAATTTTTATTTTCAACTCAATATTTTACCTAGGTTTTTCTCCATTGTGACAACTAAATGAATTTGAATGGTGTTGTTGATTATGGTTAAGAACCGGTAATCTATTTGGTCGTTTTCCACTAACATTGTTAACTCTAAATTCCGTTCTCCTGTCTTCTTTTGGCTGTTGATTTACTTTAGGGATGATTTTAGAAGTAATTTTTCTTGTATTAAGGGTTGTTGGACTACGTAAATCAAAACTAGAGGAGCGAGTACTAGCGCTGGAACTGTGACAAACACCTCCTCCACTTTCAAAGGAGGTAGAAATATTACCACTTAAACCTTCAAGGGCAGTTGGTCTTTTTTGGTGACACTAAAATAAGGATAACAATAACTTATTTACAAAAAACTATGCAATTACTCACCGCCCTAGACGGTGACGCTTCTACACTTTTAATACTATTTTCAACTATTTGCTTTTTCTCAGTTAATTCTGGAATATCAGTCGTTTCATCTGTTAATTGTGTAACATCAATCTTTTTTTGAAATTCAAGTTCATTTCCTTCATTATAAATATTGTTTAGTTCGAAAGTTGTTGAAGGGCAAGGAGGGGGAATGCTATTACTGGGTAAATATTCAACACAATCCAAAATTGGAGATTCAACAGTTAAGTAATTTTCGAATTTCTGTCAAAATTAAAAAAAAAAATAAACATTAAAATTTTTTGTTTTATTGTCCAAGTTTTTTCATATTAAAAAAGTAACCAAATCTGAAGGGTCATTCCTAGTTGCTAGGTAACAATTATTTTAAAATGGGTAAAATAACTGTCAAAAACCATTTAAAGGGTTATTGAAAAAACAAGTCTCTGAATTATTAAATCGAGTAAGTATAGGAAAACATTTCAGAAATTTTAAAAATTTTCAAATAAAGTACTTTTGCATAGCTAAAATAAAAAGCATATTAAAAGAAATTGTATGTATTTGTAATTATGAAAAAATATTTTGCCTAAGAATAAGACACACCAAGAATATAATTATCAATATTTCCTAATATACATATGCCCTAAAAAGCTCTTTTACCCTAACTTCAAGACGATTTTGTTAAATTATAGTAATTAAAAATAACAACTATTGTACTTATAAGTTTAAAAAAAAAACTTACATCTAAACTAATTGTTGAAAGACAAACAGTACCAATCTTGTCAGAATCTTCATTTACAATACTTAGCCCAAACATTAAATTATTTTGGACTTTTATGTCTTTAAATAATTTTTATTAAAAAATATTTTAAATAAAAATTTACCTAAATGTGTAAGTGGTGTAAATTCATTCAAATCATTAGGAAATTGTAAAGAAGTATTAATAGGGAAATGACCACCAAATGGAAATGAAACTTGAGATAACAATTCAAATGATTCCCATCTAATAGAGCAACTAAATTAATTAAAACAACAATTTTTTATATTTAAAAATAATTCCCTCACATTTTTGTTCCAATATTAACTATTAAATATTTCCCATCAGGTGGAAAACAGATTTGCCCCACAATTCGCTCAAATGAGGGTGATTGAGTAACGCATTCTCCTGAATATTTTTAATTATTAAAGGGAAGATAAAAGGTCTAGACGTGGCTTAAAATCTATAAATTTTAGATTGCCTGTCCAGTGGCTAAAGTTATAATTTATAATCAAAATTTTTATTTAAAAGAGTTACCTGTATCTATGTCCCAAAAACTAAAAATAAAATCTTTTCTATAATATTTAAATATAAAAAACAAACCGAACTGTTTGATCTTCATGTGATGTTGCCAACAAGCATTCGGCAGGATTAAATCGAATGTTGGTTGCCTTAAATTTTTAAACGAATATAAAGTTTTTAAGAACCCTTGAAAATAAATTTAAAATAAGTAAAAGTTACTGGTGAATTGCAGGGCATATATTGAACAGATTGTGTCATATTCAAATCAAATACTGAAATAAATTGTCCCCCGCATGCTATATAATTACAATCTGGAGAATATTCCAAACAACTGAAAATAATTATACAAAAAAATTGAAGAAAATTATTGTATTTGAGGAAAGATTTAAAAAAATTTTACGTGAAGGGCCGTGCTGTTCGCCGCATTTGTAATTGAGCAGGGTGTAAACGCAAATCCCAAAGGCGTAAAGTCGAATCCATGCCAACACTCGCAAGCAGCCAAGGGCTTGTACGATGCCAAGCAATACTTAAAATGGGACCATCGTGTTCATGGAATTCGCGCAAAATGGCACCTATATTTGGTTTGAAATATTCAATCAAATTTCAAAAAACCTTTATGTAAATCAAAAATACAAAAATTTGATCCAGCTATTATTGATAAATATTTTCCATTACAATTTTGATCGATAGAACTTGCTGAACCAGTAAAATTGAGTAGCTAAAAAACATTAATTTACATAAAATATTATAAAAATACTTTATTTCCCGAATTATCATCAAAAGATATGTATCGCAAAGGATTTCCAATAACAGCACTTTTTGGTGTGGATGCAACTCCATTAAAGTCAAGTAGAAAACCAACTTCGTTTGTACAGAATCCAGACAATCTCCGCTCTTAAATTTAAAAAAAACATGTTGGATGCAGGGTGCCCCTCTTACCCTCCTTAAAAAGTAGGGGTTGTACCCCGTCACGAAATCGGGGTTAAACTCAACGCAAGTAATAAAAAACACATCAATAGTACCTGTAATATTCATCTGTTTGGGGAAAAATTTGCCCACACCATTTTCTGTCATTGGAATAAAAAATCCCACAAACTTTGTACATAAAGTTATTTAAAAAAATGTAGAGAAGCTTAAGTTCCCCTAAAACAAAATTTTAATTGATGAAAAACAAAATCTACAAATAAATTAAACGAAAAATAACTTTATTTTAAAAATGTAATACATGAAAAAACATTTATCAATTCAATTAAAAACAATTTTCATTTATTGAAAAACAGAAACATCTAGCATCGCTGCAGAGCCTTGAACCAAATTGTCAGCTAACATTTTGTCAACAGTGTCACCCAAATGTCGTTTAGGGTCTTGTTTACCAACATTTTTTATCGCAATTTGTTCCTCAGTCATCTTAGCTTCTTCTTCGATTGACTATAGAATTAAATTAATTTTTAAAACAAAAATTAAAATTTACTTTTTTATATAATTTTGCCAATTTTAAAAGTTGTTCAACGGATGTTTGATTTGTAGAACAATGAACAGTATATTTCTCCAACATCATTGAATCCATCCAACTTCGTTTATTTAAATTCAATAACATCTAAAATTTAATTTTGATAGTTAAAATAAATCTTTCTTTACCTGTTGTTCATTCTCTGTTGTCCGATAAGCAATTGGTATAGAATAATAATGACGGTTTAGTCCATGAATAAGTGCCTGAATTGAAGGTTTTTGCAAATGTCCAATATTGCAAGTTGTTTGTCTAGGTTCTTGTTGTAAAGCGACAGTTTGTGGAGAAATTGTACGAAATGCGTCAATTACAACCTTAATAATATTGTTTAAATTGATTTAATAATTGGCAATAATTGCAGTCAAATTTAATTTACTTTAATTGAAATTAGTTGGAAAATAATTTTATCAAAATTTCTAACCTTTCCCTTAACGGACTGTATCGGATCAACCACAACAGCAACCGCACGATTAGACAATTGCTCGAAACTCTGTTGTGTGTTAATGTCAACACCAGAAAGCCAACAACCAAAACCTGGGTGAGAATGATACCAACCAACAACCATTTCTGGACGGCCAGTTTGTTTTAACATATCAATCATTTTTGCTTGGAAAACGGGATCTACAGCCTCGACAGAAACACCCTAAAAATTTGAAATTATTAGAAAGAACAAATTAGTGGTGACACAAAAATTTTAAGAATAAAAGATAACATACAGTTCCAGATTGTGGCATGGCAAAAACATCAATAACGTTAACAGTATAATCGTCAACAAAATCTCCGAGCATTAAACCCATAACCTAAAAATATAATCTTTCTTTTTATAAATTAAAAAGTACCTCCATTGGCACTCCAGCCCGTCCATGTTTCAACATCTTAAGCAACGCTAAAGAGCTTATGTATACAGTCTCAGATGTATCCACTTGATTTGAATCATGTGGAGTTGCAGAAAGGCCTGCACCCATAGCACCGCCAAGACCCAAGCCTGCAATCCGTTGACGATCCATTTAGTAAAGAAATATACGCTATATTTTAGTTTACAGCCAAAAAAATATAATGTTCTAGGGAAAAATAACAAAAAAATGAAAAAATTGTTTAAAAGAATTTTAAAATTGATGACAATAAATATCTCAATTTGTCGTTTCCAATTGGTTCGATCAACTGGTGGCACTCAACTGACCCGCTCCAAATCGGGGACGGAAAATTTTCGAGTCTCTAATTCGGGGACGGAGTACCGGAAAAGGACGATTCAGTATTGCCGATTCAGTATATGGCCATAACTTCTTATTCGTCTGATTCTGATAATTCTAATATAATTCGGAAGTGATTTAATATGCCGTTTTTTTGGTCATAACTCTTTGTTCTATTAATATTACAGAAATTTTTAACATGATTCGAAATGTTTCGTATCTGATCATCATACAAAAAGTTGCAGACGGAAAACTGATTTTTGTTAGGATGCTCACAGCTGGGAAAAGGTGCAGTCTCACTAGATCTTTCGAATCATGTTTAAAATTTTCTGTAATACAGTATTAATGGAACAGAAACTCATGGCCAAAAATTTTTTTGTTTTATTTAAAATTTTATTTTTGTTTTTCAAAAATTTAGTTTCATGCTTTATTGATTTCGATTTAAATATTACTATATTTGAAGAATATATTTTTAGTCAATTCTGTTAATAAGTTTTGAATAAAATGGATGAAAGTAATTCTATAATTTCTGATGACTCATCTTTCAATCAGACAGGTAAATTTTTTCTTTAAAAAATTGAGTATTAATTATAAATTTAATAATTATTAATTTATTGAATTTGATTAATTTATAAATCTTTTTGGGGATTTGGATTTTATTGTCCCTTTTTTCCTCAGGTTACATAATGTTGATTTTTTCTATTAATAGTAAGTAATTTCGAATCTCAACATCTAAATTAAAATGTTTGACTACATTCATGTAGTCCGTAAGTCTTGGATACCACTGAAAACAAACCTGTAAAAATTGGTGATCGAACTATATATCAGGGTATTACTAAATTAAACACTTTTAAAATAGTAAAATTCTGGAAAAAATTTTAACAATTATGCAACGTGAGCAAAAAAATAAAAAAATTATAAGGAAAAAAAGAAATTTAAATAAAATTTAGGAGTCAATCTTGACCAGAAGAATAATGATGATTCTGAAGCAAAATCTGACACGAATTTGACGAATATTCTTAAGACTGAAGGAAAAGGAGATGATGATTCTGATATGAAAAATGAATTTACTGATTTGGAAACTAATAAACAAAATGAAGCAGAAATTAATATTGATTTAAATACTGACAATAATTCTGAGTATTTTGATGATTCTAAAGAGGAACTCACAAAAACTGAATCATCCGAACATAATTCTGCTCCTTATGAAAATAGAAATTCAAGAGAAAAAGAAAGTGATAATGTACAAAATTTAGATGAAGATATGCAATCAACAGTTTTAACAAAATCTTCTAAAGGTTTATTAAATTTTGTTATTTATAATTAATTTATTTTATAATTAATTATTCCTTAATTACAAAAAAAATTTTCGTTTAATGTGTTTCTATTTTTGTAGAAGATACTGCTGTTTCGCATAATATTTCGAATTCAATAGTTGATGGAATACCTGAATCAGCTATAGAATTAAATAAAACAAATGATAGTATAGAATCTCATGAAAAAATGAACATTGAGGAAGGCGATATCAAATTAGATGATGAAAATATTGACAATCAAAATGAAGAAGAAATGGATGTTATTGAACATTTGGATTCTTCTTTACTTTATCAAAATCCAACTTTTGCCGAAATTTGTTCTTTTTTCAATACATTTACTCATTTGCTTGGTTTAAAGCCTATATCCATAGCTAAATTGGATAAGTTTTTCTGTACACTCATTAATGGAGATGGTATTTTTAAAGATTATTTTTACCCTTTATTATTTTTTAGTTGATCCTGAACTTGTCGATTTACATGTTACATTAATGCGTAAAATCTATTTGAAATCTGCGAGAGCAGATAAATGGGACAAAGCTTTACAAAAATTCAGTGCAATATGTCCTGGCTTGGACAATGAGTCTCGTCAGCTTCAGCGCCATCATTATGTGGATATTTCGATTGATACTAAATTATCTCTTCTTAAAGCACTATGTGACAGTCAATTTGAATGTAATGCAAAATTTAAGGAAAATGTAAGAATTTTTATTAGTTATTCACTATTTTGAGGCCGTTACACATACTACCCTCAACACTAGGACAAAAATCATAAACCATACAAAAATATGCCTTCTTATTTTTTTCTCAATACCGATGTTCATCCACTTATTTTTATCTTTTTGAGTTGTATATATTTTTTGTTTTTTAGATTTCAAATACATTTCGAAACTGTGAGCTTCGAATTGCTCCTTTTGGTCGTGACAAAGTTGGTCTTATCTACTATTTGCAAATCGACTGTGATCTAGATTTACGTGTTTATACAGAAGAGCCAGAGGATGAAGCAGGCACTAGTTGGGCACTGCGTGCTAAAAATGAAACGGAATTGATCGAATTAATCAACTCGTTAAAACGTCCGGATTTTGGAAAGAAAAATTCAGAGGATCAGCCAGACGATGATGCAGAAGAAATGGATGAGGAACAACTTTTGGATTCGCCAAAGTCGATTGTAAAAAAGGCTTCAATTTCTTCAAATATTAGCAATCACGTCAATGATACAAAAGAAAAAACATCTACTGACATTAAGCAATTTAAACTTGATGAAGCACAACGCGCGAAGATAATTATGCAAACAAAGTCAGAAATACTTTGGGATTGTTACAGAAAACAGGATTTGTTAAATAAGGTTTGTTTATTATTCTGATTAGTGCTACCTTAAAATCTTTGAAAATTGTTTATATCATTCTAATATTGTTTACTTTAAGCGAAAACTCGAACGTGATAAGCAGAAAAAGGATCATGTATCTCATACTAAAGTTGTTGAAGATGTTGAAATTCCATCTACATCTAAAAATATTGCAACTGACAAGGAAGACATCAAGAATGAACTTAATTTAGACGATAATAAGGAATATGATACGCCGGAACAAGCGATATCTAGTGACATGAAGGTCAACGATACTAATGAAATTGATGACGCGCTCATTGCTGCTGAACTCGATGCAGTATAGTTTTGATTTTAATTTTCCATATATTTCAATAAAAAACTAGGAGGACAAACGAAGAGTTCTTCCACGAAGAAATGCACGAAATGCAGCAATTTCAAATATTAAACTTTTTACTACTTCACCGCGTTTAACTTCCACCTGTGATCTTAAAAATTCTGCAAGTACATTCAAACATAATTTGGTTAAATATATATTTAAAATTATAAGTATTTTTTATATTTAGGCTTTTGTTTCTACTGCTGGGAGCAATAGTGATGAAAATAGCGATGAAGAGGAAATGAATGAAGTGGAAGAAGAGGACGATGATAATGAAAATTCTTCTGATGATGATTTTTTGTTGGATAGTGATGAGCGTCCTACTTTACGCAAAATTGGAAAGCCACCAACAAAAAGAAAAATAATACCAAAGAAAAAAGCAAATAAGAAAAAACAAACAAAGAAAGGAAAAAAGTTGTATTTTTGTTTTTAAGTTAATTTTTAATTTTATATAAAGAGATGGACGTGCTAGCCGAATAGCTGCTCTCCAACGTGCATCAATAGCATTAGCAGCTGCTAATCGGAAAAAGTTATCAGCCTTTGCTATTGATGAATCAAGCGATGATGAGGATGCAGAGCCAGATGAGGAAGAAAAGGAAAGAAAGCGTGCTACGGAGTTGAGTTTATGCCAGCATTGTAAAGGTGTAAACAGACCTGATTTGGTTTGAAATTAACATAACGTATCCCATGAAATCCGATTTTAAGCTACTTCTTTGTGATAATTGTGATGATGCATGGCACACTTTTTGCCTCCGCCCGCAACTTTGGTAAGAAAATAACAATAAGTATTTTTAATATTAACAACAACCTTTTTAGGTATGTACCCGATGGGAATTGGTTTTGCCCTCCGTGTGAACATAATTCTCTTATAAATCGCCTTATTTATGCTTTACTTATGTTGCGTGACAACAAAAAGATACAAGATCAACAGAAAAAGTTTGTTTATTTAAAATTTAAACGTTTCTATTCCCATTTAGGAAGGAAGCGGCCGCTGATCGACTTAAACGCGAAATGGATTTTATTGGTATATCGCTGAACAACATAATTCCATCGGTAAATGATTCTCTGTTCAGTTTTTAATGTTAGTTACAGGGTGTCAAAAAAGATGATGGTCATGTCAACACTTCATCAACAGAGGACAGTGATGAAAGTGAGGATGGGCAATATCTGCAACGAAAATCGAAGAAACGCGCAATGAAAATAGTTACTTCTAAATCTAGATTACAAAGACGAGCAATGGAGCAAATCGAACATCTATGTCCAATAGTAACAGTGGCTGAAGGAAGAAGTCGACGGGCGATGAAACGAGTTGACTATAATTTCCGTTCTTATGACGAGCAATTACAGGTTTAAATTATTAGGATATTTTTTATTACTGATTACATTCTTTTGTAGGAAGCAATGCATTCGATTGACCCAGATGCTAAACTCAATGAGAATGAAATGTCAGAAAGTGAAGCTGTCCGTGGGAAAGATATGCAAGTATCTTATTTTTTAAATTATCTAATTTTAGAACTTAAACGTTTCTAGAATATATATGTTGACGGGGAGCAGCAGAAGGATAGTCGAGACAAGAGTGATGAGGATGAAGAAGAATTGGATGCACTCGCGCGTAAACGAGATGCCCCAGCAAGACCACCAAAGGGGCGAGCTCCAAAGGCTAACAATAAGACAATAAAGAAAAATAAGCGTTTAACTGACTTGGATGTTGATGATGTTACGGAATCTGACACTGTATATTAATTTTGAATTTGTTTCATAATATGTTTTAAGGACGAATGGCATGAGAGTAGTGCAGATAATGTAGAAGAAGATCCTGAACCATCTGAAGATGAGGTAAGGATACGTCTTAATATTCACTTAAGAATTTTATAGTACCTTCCATCTGAACGTACTAGAACAAATAGAGGAATGTGGTCTAGACATAAAAGTGATGATGAATTCATCAATGATGATTCTGATCCTGATTATGTTGAAAAATCGAGAAGACGTGCTGGCGGTAAAAAGAAGAATCGCACGGAAACTAAATCAAAAAATAAGAGGTAGCGAAAATATTAATCAAAAGAAAAATACCTTTTTTGCAGACGAAACACTGAAACAAGCACTTCGGAAGATGACAACAATATACAACCTAGTGCGAGTGATTCTGACGCACCTAGATCAAATCGAACTAAAAACAAAAGACAGAAATTAAGTATAAGTTCATCTGATGAAGAAGAAGCAAAGCGGCTGAAAAAACTGACTGAAGCAGGTCGGCCGCTAAGGAGGGCAGCGGCGAGAGTGGGCGCACGTTTAATTGAAGTTGATGATGAGTTTGAAAATGAGGATGATTATGTAGCTGAACATGAAACAAAGACTGAGGATGATAAAGTGAATAAAATTTTAAATTATTATATTTTTTCTAATTATATATAGATAGAAGATCGCAATGACAAAAATGCTTTTGTAGATAAGCCTAGTCTTCCATCTACTAGTGCTTTAGAAAACAAGATAGACCGATCATCAAATGATGATTTTGATGACGCTGATGAATTTATGCCTAATGAAATAGAGGAAGTAGAAGCAGATGAAGAAGAGGAGGAAGCAGAAGTCGAACTTGAAAATGAGGCTGTAGACGATGACGAGGAAGATGTAGAAGATGAATCTAGCGATGAAAGCAGCAGTAAAAGTTCGGGTGATGACGGAGAAGAAAATTCTGCGAATAAAACATCAAATGTTGAAAGGACAATTATTAAAAATAAATTACCATCACCAATTATGAAAGTAAAGAAAAAATTACCTCCACCACGAAAAGCATCAAAAAATAAGAAGAGAGCACCAACTAAAATTAAAAAAGCTGGCCGTGGACGAGGAAGAAAGCAAACGACTAAATTAGAGGTAGGCTTTTAATATAAACATTTTATGTCGCAATTTTTTAGAACTCAAACAGCAAACCAGGCATTGAAAAGATAAATTCTTTGCAACGGAAGAGGTCAACGTCACTTGCTAAAGAACCTGTTGTTAAAGGTACAACGCCACAAAAGCTTACTGAAACGAATATCTCAGCAGCTAGCAACAAGTCTCCATCTCAGCAATCACTATCACCTCAGACGACAAGGCAGCGACGAAATCCTTCCACCCTCTTAAAGAACAAAATTGTTCAAGCTGAAACGATTTCTAAACAACAGAAGATACAAGAATTACCAACAGTATCTTCAAACGATAATGCAAATATTCAAAAACAACAGAAAAGTTTACCTCCCAAACCAGGAAAAATTGAGATACCTTTAGCATTAACTATTTCTGAACCATCAAAAGAGCAAAAGACGGAAGTGAGGATACCAGTGAAAACTCCTTCCAATGAGAATATCACTGTTGAAAATGAAAAATCTCTAAAAAAGATTGCACCCATTAATTCAAATATTAATGAGCAAACTATAGAAAAGACAATTGCCCCGCCGAGGAATGTTGAAATGAGCATTAAAGCAAAGTTGGAAGCTCTTGTGAAAGAAAAGATACAACCTAAAATTGAAAAGACAGTGACATCTGCAAAGTACTATTTTTGAATATTTTTTTTACTAATTTACTTTCTTTTAATTAGCTACTCAATAAATCCGTCTCAAACAGCTACTTCAACAACAACTTTAAACATACCATTATCATCATCAAAGATGTCTACAACTATTTTTCAACCTGTCGATCCGCAACAACTTTCACAATATATCAATAACACACCGCCGCCACCACCAGTTACAAATCAAAAAGTATAAGAATATAAATTTAATAAAAATACACATATGTATAATTTAATTTTAGCAAGTTGTCTCTACATCGTCTAGAAGTGTTGTGTCTTCTTCAATTGCTGTACAGCCAACAATATTGGCTCCTGCCACACGTATTGTCTTACAGCAAAGACCAATGGTTCATTCAACTACTTTTGCATCCTTTCAGAATAATACACCGCCAATTGGTTTTTTAAATTTCTAATTTTACTATTTCTGAATATTTTTGTAGTGAGTGGTCCTCAAGTTGCCATTATGCCAACAGTTTTGCCACCACCAATGACAGTAGGATTACCTCAAGGTTGCGTACCACACTTTGTTCCCCAACCACCGGCCACATACTTTATGCAACAAGGAGCGCCTCCACAAATTATTTATCAGACTTTACAGTAAATTTTTAATTAAAAATTGTTCGACTAAAGGTCGAAAATTTTCCCATCTTTATCTTTTATTAGGCCATATGGCTCTGCTCTTCCACCACATGCAGCATTCCCCGGTCATCCTATGCAAGTACAACAATCTCATCAAGCAGGCGGAATTGTGGACCAAGAAAGTTTGTCACATGCTTTGGCTGGTGCAATGAATCCTGAAGACCTTTAAACGATAACGCGGGATTTTAAATGAAGCGTGATTATTTTGCTAATTTATCACTTCACAAATAGATACGTTAATAAAAACATACATATTACGCAAAATTTGTCCTTAATTGTTTACAATCTCGCTTTAATAAATTTTGATTGTAATTTAATTTTTTCTAAAAATCGTTTAAAAACGAATATTTTTTCATATGGGTTGGACTTTTGCTGAACCATTTGTACATTTACCTAAACAATAACTGTCTCGCGGATGATTATCGACTCAATAATCACTTGTGCTATTTTTCTTTATTTTTCTCTGCATTTGGGAATTATTAGCTTGACAATAATTTCAATTTTTTAGCAAATAATTGTTTTTATTATTGATAATTTTATTCTCAAAAACAATGGCTGGTTGTTTCGACGTAATGCAACATAATGCATCTTTTGACTGGGACACCCGACGGAATACATATTCTGCGATCTTTGCTGGATTTTTGGTATTTTTAAAATATTATTTTATACTTTAAATTTTAGTTCTTCTTTGCCTGGTGGTTAGTTATTGACACTGCTGTTGTGTTTACTCCTACTGGAGATTGGAATAATTGGTATATTTTATATGATAAACAATTATTTTACTTTTTTTAGGTATTTTGCTCTCGCAGTTTCATGTAGTCTATCAATGTTTATGTAATTTATTCTTTAAATATTTAAAATGGCTTTTTAAGGGTTAACTCTGTGTCAAATCGTGCACTTGAAGGCCTTTATTCCGAAGAAGGTGTTCTTGGAGTTAGAGGTTTTATTCTTCGTTTTTTTATTGCAAATTAAATTTAGGCACTCGAATCTGGCTTATGTTTGGATTTATAGGCAGTTTTGCTTGTATCATCGCAGGAATATGGATTATGTAAGTCGATTAATTAAATTAAGTTTAAAAAATCCCATTTTAAAGGTTTGGTGACTATGTTCTTCAAAAGAACGATAATCCTAAATGGCCAGGTGTTGCTATCTTCCTTCACACTCTTCTTACCTTCATTGCTTCTCTCACCTACAAATTTGGACGAAGTGAAGAGCTTTGGGATTAGTGCATAAAAGAAAGGTTAACATAAAGCTTTGACATATTGAGGAATTTCTCTCAATTTAAAAAGCCATTGTAAAAGTCTATTTTTTATTTTAAACAAAATCTTGTAAATGACTTAATTTTAAGTTTATTTTTTTAAATATAAGGATTGCAAAAAGTATAAACTTTATTAATTATTTTTGCAATTCAGAGTTATGTACTATCTAATTCTGACTTTCTTAAACATTTATTTGCGTATATATTTACTGATTATTTCAATTCCATCTAATTACTTTAAACTAATTTCGTTGATTTCCAAGTATTTTTTAGAAATAATCGTAAAATATAAACGTTTTCCATAATTTGTGTATATGTCTTGTCGATACCTTTTAATTTGGCCAATAATATTAATGTTCCCCGACTTCATAATCCTCACAATTCTGAATAGAATAAAAAATTTCGAAAATTCTATTTTTCATATTAATTAATTTTATTTAAAATAAAAATATTTTTTTATTTGGATTACATGCTTATACTATTAAATTTATTAAAATATTTTGGATTTAAAGATGTTAGTCAATAAGCAAGCTAAAGCTATTCTACGTTTGCTTTCTAATCCTTATTTCATGAGGAGATGTGCCATAAATTTAAGGGTTTGTTTAGTTTTTTATTATGTTTTGGGGTGGGATTGTTCGGTTAAAAATATAAAAAGGTTTTCTCATATGCAGTTTTGTATATGCTTACTTCAATTTGAGTTTTGCGTCCCTTTTTGACAAGATAAAATGTTAATTTAGATTTTGTTTTTAGAGAACAATTAAAACAACTTCCCATCATTTCCATGCTGGTCCTTCAAATATTCAACATCCAATACAAATTGGTGGCCCTCAACCAAATAATTGGCAAATGATACAAAAATTAGCTAGACATGTTTGGCCTGCCAGAGGCGAATGGAATGTTAAAAGAAGAGTAATATTAGCTATGACATTATTGGTTGCAGCGAAATTATTAAATGCTACAGGTTTTTAATTTAAAAAAATAATTTTTAAAAAATTACTTTAAAGTACCCTTTCTCCTCAGAGATGTAATTAATTATTTTGATGGAAAACTTCCTTCTGGGTTTTCATCTCTAGGTTTGTCAACGCCAAGTGGAGCTGTCCTTTCAACTGGAATTGCTTTAATTATTGCATATGGTGCTGCTAGGGCAGGGACTTCTCTTTTTAATGAGGTATTCAATTATTGATTTCTATTTTTATTAATTTCTAGTTGAGAAATGCTGTTTTTGCACGTGTTGCCCACCGCTCAATTCGTGACATTGCTCGAAATATTTTTCTACATTTACATAGTCTCGATTTATCTTATCATTTAAATAGGCAAACTGGGGCTCTTTCCAAAGCTATTGATAGAGGTACTCGAGGAATGAGTACAACATTAAATTCGGTAAAAAAATTTTAAATTAAAATTATTTATTTATAAAGCTTGTTTTCAATATAATTCCTACAATTTTTGAAATGGCATTAGTTGGAACAATTTTTTATATAAAATGTGGCCCTCAATTTACTTTTGCAATGACTGGATGTAAATAATTTTTAGAAATTTTAATAATATTTTTTTGAAGGTTTGGGAATGTATGCCGTTGCCACAATAGGAATTACTAGATGGAGAACAAAATTCCGATTAGAAATGAATGAGGCTGATAATGAAGCTGGAAATAGGGCAATTGATTCTTTAATTAATTATGAAACAGTTAAGGTATGGAAATAATTTTTAAAAATTGAGGAAAAATCGTTTCTCTCTTAAATACCAGCCAGGGATAGTGCCGTCCCGATTTACGATTCTCGAAATTTGTGAATTCGAAATTGAGAATTTGATTTTCTATCGGCGCGATCCCTGCTACCAACCCTTTCTTATATTTAAATTTGTATTTTAAGTATTTCAACAATGAAAAGTTAGAAGCTGATCGTTATGATCATTTTCTTCGTCGTTTTGAATTTGCTTCATTAAAAACATCAACATCACTTGCATTATTAAATTTTACTCAAAATGCAATTTTTAGCGCTGGACTTATTGGAGTAATGGCATTGGCAGCAGAAAATGTTAAAAACGGTTAGTTTTGTTAAAAAATTTATTTTATTTTTATTTAGGAACAATGACTGTTGGTGATATAATTTTGGTTAATACACTTTTATTTCAAATGTCAATTCCTTTAAATTTTCTTGGGTCAATGTATCGTGATATTCGACAAGGTTTTTAAAAAAATATTTTTTAATAAATAAAAATTATTAAAAAAGGTCTTCTTGATATGCAAGTTATGTTTGCTTTAACGGAAAAGAAAAGTCGAATTGTTGAAAATCCATATGCTAAACCTTTAATTATTTCACAAAGGCAGTCAAAGATTATTTTTGAAGATGTTGTTTTTGGGTTGGTTTGTTTTTAATTTTTTTAAATTTAAATTATTTTAAGTTATGTTCCATCTAGACCAATGATTCTTAATGGTTTATCTTTCGAAGTACCCTCTGGAATGAAAGTTGCTATTGTTGGAGGGTCTGGTTCGGGGAAGTCTACAATTGTGAGATTGCTATATAGACTATTTGGTAGAGAATTTTAATTTTTTAAAAAATTATTTTTTAGATGCTAATTCGGGAAAAATAACAATTAATGGTCAAGAAATAATTAATGTTCAACTTGACAGTCTTCGTCGAGCTATAGCCATTATTCCACAAGACAGTGTTCTGTTTAACGATACAATATATTATAATATTCATTATGGGAATATAAATGCAAGTGAAGAACAAGTTTGTTTATTATTTTAAACAAATAAAAATATTTTTTAATAGGTTTATCAAGCTGCTAAAACTGCAGATTTGCATGATTCTATAATGAGAATTCCACATGCGTATCAAACGATGGTCGGTGAACGAGGACTAAAATTATCGGGTGGAGAGAAACAACGTGTTGCAATTGCGCGGGCTATCCTTAAAAATTCTCCGATTGTTAGAATTTTTTTTTATTTTTTTGAAATTATTTTAAATTTTAGATAGTCTATGACGAAGCAACGTCATCATTAGATTCAATTACAGAAGAGAATATAATGCATTCATTAAAAAGTGCTTATTCTGGCCGCACTTCGCTTTTTATTGCACACCGTTTAGTAACAATCGCAGATGCAGATATTATTTATGTATTGGATGAAGGCCGTGTAGTTGAAACAGGAACTCATAAACAATTATTGGCTAAAGAAGGTGGGGGTAAATGTGATTAAACTAATATTTTTACACCTCATTAGGAAAATACGCGGAGCTTTGGAATTCGCAAAATAGACATAGGGTAGACGCTTCTGGAGGAGGACAAGAGGAGTCATCCGCTCAATCACAATTTTCATCAAATGGGTCGGAAATTATTCACTTTTACGGTAATGATTTACTTGAGTTTGAGGAATTACAGAAAAAATGTTGTGGAAATATGAGTTGCAACCGGTGAAATAAATATATTATAACATTTTTATTTTTACATTTACTCCTCACCCAATTTGAATTTGTCTCATTCATTTTTAAAACGGAAAGTATATTTAAAAAATATGTGATAATATAGTATTATATCAAAAAATACTTTAAAAGTTATCGAAATTTATGATATCCAAAAAAAACATCCTTTCAATCCATATCGCGGAAAATTTTAAAATAATTATAAAGAAAAACGTGAAACATTCCCTCAACATTCCCCTTACGATACATGGATATCATTTCCCTAAGTTAATCCCTGTCCTTATGTTTCCTGCTCTTCTTATCCTTTTTATGGTGTCTCTTCGTTTTCTTTCTTCTTCTGTCTTCATCATCTTCTGAATTACTTCCACTTGAATGTCGTTTACGCGATCTTTTAGAAGCCTTTTTATGACTTTCTTCGTCGTTTCTACCTCGTTTTCGCCTGAAAAATATTTTCATATTTTTAAACAATGATTAAATTTAAACAAAAATAGCTCAAAATTAGCTTACTCCTGAGTGTTTTTCGTTGATGAATTTTCAGCATTTTCAACAAAGCGCCTAGATGCTAATGGTGGAGACCCGTCTTCTGAAGAAGGTGAAGGCTTGCGTCGGCGGACCTCACGTTCCTCTTTGCGTTGCTTTTCACGCAGAAGATCCTTTTGATAAATTTTATTGAAAATTTAGATTCTAAATATTGATTACAAAAAATGAACATTTTAAATTTAAACGTTCACTTAAAATTTACCTTTCGTTCCTTAAATCGTTGTTCTTCATATCGCAGACGGCGCTCTGCACGTTCAAGTCGATCCTCATCTGAATCTCGGCGTCGAGCTGGTTCTCGCTCGCCAGAGCGTTCACGACTACGTCTGGGAGAACCTTCTCTTTTGTAATCAACCTTAATATATTTCATTTTCTAATTATTTTAACAACAAAAACTGGATCTTATCTAGTTTAGTAGTCAAATGAAAGTTTATGAATCCGTTCGAAATTTTATGAGTCCTTTGAGTTTATAAGTTCAATCAAAAGTTTTTGTTCGGACTCATACTTTTATCGGGCTCATAGACCGTCATGGGATATAATTATTGGACTACTAAACTAGCCCTGACCCCAAAAATAACCTCATAACTTCTTGGATCAAGTTTTCCATAACGTCCACCAGTGAGAGATTTGTAACGGTGTTGCCAATCTACTTCAGTAGCCTTTGCATAAGTCTGTTCAGCTGGCTTACTCGCGGAGGCAATTTTCAATTCCATCACTTTCTTTTCAACGAGAGAGGCTGGAATCCCTTCGGGGCTGTTTTGTGCTTCAACAAACATTTGCCAGAGTTCTCCCTATAAAAAAAGATGCTTAAAACGATTTATACTAAAATTACCATAAATTCACGTGCACGTTTGGCATTCAAAAATCCAGCCAAATTGATTTGTATTTTCTTTGGATTTATATCACGATCTTCAAGTTGTGTAAAGACATATTCAACAACCACATCATCTTCCATACCAAGAATTTCATTTAATTTAAGAGTAATCCATGGTTTGATGACATTTAAGTTGACTTTCTGCATGTCCACCTACAAGAGAAGAAAGACTTGCTTTTTGACAAAAGAACGGATCCCTTCTCTGAAATATCCAATTATAAGGTTTTTTAAAATATAATTTAGAAAGGGTCTCGCAACTGCTCTTTCACATAGCCATTAATTGAGACAGGTAGCAACTAAAAATATTAAAATGATTGAAAAATTCATAGATCTAAGATTCTAAGTTTATTGAAGTCGCCCTCTTTATTTCAAAATAACGTTTCCTTAATTTGCCGGATTCCGCAACAACGAGGGTTTACCTATACCAATGTTAAGGAATATACAGAAACCAGTGAAAGAAAACGGGTTGGGGGGACTTGCTCAAGAAGTTGAGACAGTCTTTGAACACATAACTTCTTTAAGCTCATTTTAAATTGTACCCCTAGCCTGAATAGTAACTCATTTGGATCAAAATATTGGTCTAAGAGTTTTGCGAGTCCAAGTCTAGTTATATTTCTGAAACCGTATAGTTAAATGATATGGGAGTGGCCCTTAACCAACCTTCATATCAAGCACTTGTTCAAACCGCATCTGTTTTAGCAATTTCCGTTCCTTATCTGTAAAACGAATGTCTTGATCAGTAGAAGTGCCACGATAGAATCCGGCATCCATTTGAATTGAACGTAATTGACAATTACTGAATCTAAAATAAAAATCGAAATCTAAAGACGTAACAAAAAAATTTTCCGAAGCTTTTCTGAGACTCAGGTTGCCGATTCATCTGATGTGAGTGGCCGATTCAAAGTTACTATTCAGAGTGGCCGATTCAGAGTACGGCAAATTGTGGATGATTCTTCTGATTACTTTTCTGTTTTGAATTTTTTGGTTTAAGCCGATCATGTTAGAGACTTCTGAGCAGCACGTTTCACTTGCCGAAGTTCTTGAGGTTCGCGGTGCACAACTAACAGAATTTGAAATTCTTATTATTTTGCTCACAGCATCAGATTATCTATTTAATTTTCGACTTGTGGAGGAGAAAGAAGGGGTTTTCACACTTAATCAAATCCTTATTACAAGTGATGGACAAATTAAGGTTTTGACAGAAATTATTTTTAATTAAAATTTTATTTTTTTTTGCAGATTCAATTTATTCCCTTTACAGAAGTGCCTTCAGAATATATTCCACCTGAACTTAATGGTGCAACATCACCTTTTAATAGTGAATCTCGAATAGTTTGGTGTTTAGGAAATTGTTGCATTTTGGTATGTCTTTGTTTAATTTTGAATATTAAATTTTATTTTAATTTATTTTTATGCCTGAATTTTAGTGTTTGTCTAATGAACATTCGGATGTTGCATTGCTCTCTTTGCTTAATCTCATGACTCTTGAGCACCCTCAATCTCGTCCTTCTCTTCAAAAAGTCAGACAAATGATTCGAAATCGTCTCGATGTTGTTGATATTGGTAGAATGCATCAGGTTGTTATTGGGCTATATCGTGAAGTGTTGGGAGATTTGGATGAATTGGTGGGTTTAAATATGTTATTTTTAAGATTTGTTGAAAGTATTTATTAGCCAAAACTTTGATTTTCAGATTTCTGATGAATTTTGTGATGATATTCGTTTCTCTTCTAGACGTTCGTCTCATTTAAGTATTGTTCCAGGTCCAGGAGCGCCAGATTTTCAAAACAGTTAGAAAATAATAACTCTAAAAATATATTTTTATTTTAAAGAAATCTCCAGCAAGAAAATCAGCAATCAGGAGTTCTCAGACTTTAGCGTTACAAATCATCCAGAGCAATTGGATATTAACAATTTTGATATTGCTGGATTTGATGTTTGTTTCTTCAACTTTTTAATTTATTAAAAAATTTTTCTTTTAGATTTCAAAAAACATTACTCTAAATTTGGATTCTTCCTTAAAACTCGATGACCAGAACGAAAAAAGCGAGGATGCATCAACTCCGCGTGCTCTTTCTCCATCAAATCCATTTTTCGATAATGAACATAATGCGTTTTCTGAAGTAAACGGAAAAAATGAGGAAAAGGAAGAAATAACTAATAAACAAATAAATTCAAAAATTGTGTCTTCAAGTTTAATAAATGGGAATAATTCGTTAGATAAAATTGAGGATAAAATCGATGGATGTGAAAGAAATCCGTTTATTTCTCCTCCTCAACAAAAAAATGTAAATTTAAATAACTTTGTTTTAAAATTTCAAATTTTTAGAATTTTCAACAAAATACCCAATCTCCTTCGCAACCCTTTAATTCTGGTGGAACATTCAGAAGACAAAATTCTCTCCAACCTGAACGTTGTAGTCGTCGCATTGCTGCCAATCATACAAAAACCGGAAGAGGAACAGCAGTTTCTACTTTAATGTTACCAACTGTGCCTGAATTTTTAACCAATAGAAGTCAGCCAAGTATTCGATTAAGAGCACAGAGTATGAGAAAGGTCAATAAATGTTTTTTTATATTTTTAGTTATTTATATTTCAAAAAATTCTTTTTTCAACTTTTAAAGTTTAGAAAAAAATTGTCGCTGCTCTATATAGACAAGAACCTGTTGTTGTCTTTGTGCGTCTTCTTGATGGACATACAGTTGAGGTTAACTGTACTTCAGATCAACTAGTTGGCGCTGTTTTTCACACAGTTTCAGAGCATTTGTATATTAGCGAGCATTTATTTTTTGGATTGGCTCTTCTAAGCCGTAATGGTGAATCTATTTTTCTTGAAGAAAGGCAGCATTTAGAGAAATGGGCACCGCCAGGGTGGAAAAGTGGCATTGGAAGAGGTTTTTTTAATCTTTTTTTAAATAAATTTTTTCTAACACAGAACAATTTGTTTTAAATTTTCGTTTCCGTTTTTATCCAAAGAAAAGAGAATTTATAAAAACTTCAATAACAACCCATCAACTTTATTTACAATTAAGACAGGATATGTTATCTGGAACTTTACGTTTTCAACCAAGAGAAAAAGCATTGGAAATGGCTGTTTGTTTTTATTTAAATTTTTTTAAGTTTTTAAATAATTAAAGGCATTAGCACTCTGTGTTGAATATGAAGGAGATCAGGAGTTCTCTTCTTCAACCTCAAATAATTTACAAGGAGATTATTTCAATTTGGAAAATTATTTGCCAGGAAAATTTTACGATTTAAAGGCGGGAGAGATTCTTTCTGTTCAAAAAGAAATTATTTCCTTGCACGGACAATTTTCGAAGCAATTGTGTCGTTTGGAGGCTAAAGAACGTTTCATTTCTCTCTGCCTTGAGGAGGTAATTAAATATTTTTATATTTATAATATTTTCTTTTTAGACTTATTATGGATCACATTTCTATAGAGTTCACAAAATTAAACCAAAAGGACATCAACAGCAATTTCTTCCTGATCTTCGTTTACTTGCTATAATGGTTGTTTTTAAATAAATCGTATTAAAATATTTTTTTAATTTAGCCTTCTGGTATTGGTATTTGCCGCGAAGAAAGAAACGGTGCCCAACGACTATTCACTTCCTTTCACCAATGGAGCAATATTCGAACATTACAATTCGATAAAAAACGTTTTTTACTGGGAATAATTGAAAATGGAATAGCCGTTGATAATGTACATATTATAAAATATTTTTTTCCAAATTATCAGAATTTTAGATATTTTATGTGGATCATCATTCCAAATCAGGATATTTAGTTCGTTTTGCAGCCTCACAACACGGGTATTTTAAAAACTTTATTTTAACTAATTTTATGAATTAAAGTTTTATGCTCAAAATGCGTCAATGGCAAGGAACTTTGGAACGTGTCCGAGCATTTCAACGTCATCGAGATGTTGCAATTGATGGTTCAGTTGAAGTTGTTTCTCAACAAAATCATCAAAGTATTGATGGAATGGATTCTAAACAAACTCATCGTCGAAACGGATCACAACCACAAATGGGAATCTCTGCTGTTAATTCTTGTCGACAACCTGAGTCTGTAGATTTAGAAAATAAGGAGCGCAATGATGTCGATGACGAAGTAGAAAATTTTTTTAAATTAATTATTTTGACTATTTTTATTTCAAATTATCAATAGTCAATTTATGGTCAAGATGCACAAAAAATATTTATGGCCCTTGAGAGGCACCCCGAATTTGGTTTGGGGCTAACACTTGTTGATGGGGCTGTCAATGGAGTAGAGGGTGTTTATGTTAACAAGGGAACATTTCGAACTGTGACCAAAAATTTTTAAATAAAAATTATACCATCGTGTAGAGCGTAGTCGAAAACGTATTGTGGTGCCCGGCTTTTCTTCCCCTGACCCCCATTTCGAAAAGTTATAGGGCTTCAAAGTTTTAGACTTTTAGAGCGGTTGAGTCACCCTCATAAAGAGAGATTTTGAATTTATTGAGGAGAAAAATAAGACTCCCATCCTCCTTTTCTCCTTTCCTTTTCTTTTCAATATTAGTTAAAGAAAGAGAAAAGGAGGAGAGAAAAGAAAAGGAAAGGAGGCATGTCTGCCATCTCCTCTTTCCTTTTTAATTGATATTAGCCGCAAGGCAGAGATGCTCTTTTCCTTTCCTTTTCTCTTCTATTTTTTTCTTTCTTTAACCAACATGGGAAAAGAAAAGGAAAGGAAAAATGGAGAAAAGGAGTCTTATTTTTCCCTTTAGGAAGAGAAATAATAAGAAAAGTGGGGGTGACTCAACCGCTCTAAAAGTCTAAAACTTTGAAGCCCTATAACTTTTCGAAATGGGGGTCAGGGGAAGAAAAGCCGGGCACCACAATACGTTTTCGACTACGCTCTACACGATGGTATAATTTTTATTTAAAAATTTTTGGTCACAGTTCGAAATGTTCCCTTGTAAGTCTGTTGCTGCTGAAGGTGATGGGCACAAAAAGGGTTTACTTATTGGAGACTGTCTTTTGAGCATAAATGGTAAAATTCTTATTAATGATAAAATAAATAGTAAAGATATAAAATTTACTTTATTTAAAGGATTTAATAATAAAATAAAGTATTAGAGAATTCTCATTAGAAATTTTGAACAGGAATATCTTTACTTGATAGAACTCGGCATGATGCTGTAGAAATTGTCCAGAATTGTGGTGGAAAGGTCCGTTTAGAAGTTTTGCGTTTTCCATCTATCTCTGTAGTTCTTTCGAAGGAGCCTTTGCAAAGTGTAATTAATGGACTAAACTGTAAATTTTATTTGCTTGAATATTTAAGATTTTATTTTTAGCTGGTCGAAAACCGACAAATACACATTCTGTTAAAAATGTGAAAGATGAGGAATCACAAATAGTTTCTGCACGAAGACGTACTTCTGCTCCCCCCGAAAATAAAAACAATGATTCTTTAAAAAACATCGAGAACGTGAAATGTGTTTCGACTAAAAAAATGTATTGTGTAAAATTATTTTAAAAAATTTAGAAGTTCTTTAAAAGCCCTTTTGCTTTCAAAACCCAATCTAAAAAATCTATCTCTTTTATAGCGAAGCAACTAATGTTAATAATAACAATCCAAAACCAAATGTTTCACATCGTCAACGTGCAGTTTCAGATTTTGGGGCAATCAGTGGTATGACGCTACCAACACTTAAAACTGATGACATTTTAACACTTTCTACAAAAAATGATCCAATTCGACTTAACGCAATTAAACCTAATCGATATAGACGGCACAAAACAAGTGTTGGATTTATGGAACCTACGTATATTTATTTTTATGCCTTGTTGAAAATTTTTTGCATTTAGAATGTTGGAATCAGATGAGGATGAAGATATTAGTACCGATGGTGATTCTTCAACGATTACTCGTTCCTCTTTAAATGATCTTGAATCATCGAGGGGTGAATATATTATTAAAAAAATGCCATCTGTGACGGCAATGTATGGAATAGAAAATGAAGATAACAATGATGAAGAAAAAGCAGAAAATATTAATATTGCAACAAAAGAGAAGCCAAATAAAATAAACAATGGATATCAAAGAGCAAATACTATTCAGTCAACTTCCGATGTTTCAAAATCTTCCCCTTTTGATGCTGCATTACAACGTTTTGCTCGTCAAAACACAAATAACGAGGTCAATAACAACAATAAACCTTTATTAAATTTGGATTGGACAAATGATCTAACAACATTTGAAAAACCAAAAAATGAAGAATCAATTACTCATTCATCAAAAACAACAAAACAAAGAGGATCTGATAAGTTTGATGAAGAGGCTATTGTGGTAACACTGAACAAGAATGAGAATACTCCAATAGGTATATTTGTATATAAATTAATTTTGTAAAGATTATTTGTTAAAATAGGATTGAGTTTGGCAAAACGTGTGGGATACGATGGAGTTTACATTCGAAGTATTGGACCGGATAATTCATTGGCCGCACAAGATGGTACTCTTCGTGTTGGAGATCAAATTGTTCGCGTGCAAGGAGTAGAACTTCGCAATGATGAGAGTCCATTAAATGTTGTAAAGCAATTAAAGAATATTATTGGACCTTTAAAAATACATGTAAAAAGGCGTTTGTAAGGTAAATTAGAACGAACAAAATATTTTAAATTTAATTATTTTATTTAAATATGATATATTTAGAATTCTACTTAATTATTAATGGCCGATTTTATCTACTGATACAATCGGATCTCGTTTGTATTTACATACACTTTATTGTACGTACAATTTTCTTATGTTGATTGGTAACAGGGTGGTGAGAGCCTAGCAATAAGCAATGCCTCCAATTTTACGTTCACCTCAGTTTTACTTATATTTTTTTCATCTCCAAAGATGTATGTATGTACAATTGAGATCCGAAATTTCTGTTCAAAAAAATTTTAATTTTCAAATTAATTTTATTTAGAAAATCCACTCTTTATTTTTTTTCTTTTGTCCATATCTCTTTTACATTCATTTTACTTAAAATCTTAACCGCCCTAACTTGTGTCACTTACAAAACTTTTAGATTCCGATTTTTTAATTTATATACAAATAATATTTTTATGATACTACTTAATTATATTGTGATGAAAAATAAATTTTTATTATTTAATGACTCGAATTTTCTTTATAATTTTACAATTTACATATATGTATGTAATATCTACTTATTTAATCAAAAAATTCAATTTTTGACCTTTTTATAAAGCAATATAAAGATGGCTGAGGATGAGACTTCTTCTCGACAATGTCCAAAATGCAAAACAAGCGAATTCCAAAATCGCTCTCTTGTCATGATGCTCAATGAATGTTGTCATCCAATATGCCAAAATTGTATGGAGAATTTGTTTGCAAGAAATGTTGGTCAATGCCCCTACAAAGATTGTGACCGGACGCTGAAAAAATCTGGATTTTGGATTCAGGAATTCGATGATCTCCGAGTAGAACGTGAAAATTTTATTAGAAAACGCATTCTTAAGGTTATTTTTGTTTTAATTTTAAAGTTTCGGAGGGTTTTAGACATTCAACTTGCAAGAAGATGACTTTGAAAATCTCCGCGATTATAATGATTATTTGGAAAGAGTGGAGGATATAATTTTCAAGTGACTAATTAGGCTATTGTTTGTTTCTTATTTTAGCTTTTGTTTATTTCTCATTTCTAATATTAGCACAATTTTAAGATTATTTTTAACGTTTTTTAATTTTTTACAGATTAACCAATGACATTAACACTGAAGAAGTGGAGGCAGAAGTTAAATTATTCCGAGAAGAGAATTCAGAATTAATTGAAAGAAATAAGAGGCGACCGTCTGCTGATGATTTATGGATAAAACGAATGCTTGATGAGGAAGAGTTAAGAAAGAAAAAACTTGAAGGACAACACAAAAATGATTTGGTGAATAATTTGTTTTATTTAAATAAATATATTTAAATTTAAGGACCAAGAAAAATCATTATTCAACCCAAAGGATGTAATTGATGAACTTCGTTCAAGTGATTTACCTGCTGAAGTTGTGTTGGATCGACAAAGGAAAAAACAAATAGAGCATGAAATGGCAGAGAAGGAGAAGGCAGAACGCATAAAACGGAGCAAATTAGGTGAGTTATTTTTATGAGCTTCAGGTTTATTTAATTGACTATTCGTTAATTTGATTCTTGACCTACAATTATAAATTTCAGAAGAAAAACAGCGAGCAAGTGATCGTGCAGTTTATGGAGTTGTTCGTCATGCTGGAAAACCATATTTTCATACTACGCCTGTTATTTCATTGAATGGTCCACCAATGCTTAGCGAATATGAACTTATTGAAAATAATTTTATTAAATATGTTCGCGAACCATCTATTCAATCAATTGCTGGCGGATTTCACTCAAAACTTGGTTGTATGCGTGCCTTGTTTGAAGCCCGCACTGATTTATTTTTATTTTAATGACTATTAATTTTTGTTTAATTATAATTTAAAAGTTAAATTTTTTTAACATTTTTGACAGTTAAAATCGTTAATTTTACGAATATACATATTTTAATTTGTAATACAGTTTTAACAATTCGTTTCTTAATATTTTGTAATTAATTTAAGTTAAATAACTAAAAACATTTATGGATAATATTAGTTTGGAGTCTGTTTATGAAGCAGTAAATGCTCTAAATGGCCCTGATCCATCACGTAATGGAGCGGCAATAAAATGGTTGGAGCAATTTCAAAAATCGGTATTTTTTAATTCCAATATTTACTAAATTTTTGGTTTAAATGATAGATTGATGCTTGGACGATTGCAGACAGAATATTAAATGAAGCCCGATCTTCTGATGCTTGTCTTTTTGCAGCGCAAACATTAAGAAATAAGTTGCTTTACCAAATGCATGAATTGCCTTCTGATTCTTATGTCGCTTTAAGGGATTCCCTTTTGTCATTATTGAGGTTCTAAAATTTTGTTCATTAATAAAATATTTTTTAAAGCAATATCGAAACTAAACTCGGTCGGAATGTTTCTTCTATTCTTGTTCAGATTTGTGCTGCACTATCAGATTTATACATTCAGGTAGAAATTTTTCTAAACAATTTTTGACAAATTAATAAAGGTGGTAGAATGGAGAGGGTTTATTCCACAATTGATTGCTTTGTTTGGAGTTCAAGGAAATACTCGGAATCAACAAATTTTTTTAAATTTCTTCAGAATTTTTCCTGAAGAGTTGTACAATAGAAGATTAAAAATTGGGGAGAATCGAAGACATGAAGTTGAATTAGAAATGGCTGCAGAAACTGTTCAAGTGCTTAATATTTTGGTTAATTTTTTATTTAAATTTTATTATAAATATTAATTTTTAGTCCCAGTTGTGTTCATCACCTGATGGCTCTTCTCCTTCTGTCACTCTTACAAGTTGCGTAAATTGCCTTGCTTCTTGGTTACTAAATAAACAATGCCCAACTGAAATTGTATTATTTATTTATTTTCAAAAATGTATTTTTTATTAATTTTTAGTTAGCTCATTCTCCTTTACTTCATTCTGTAATTGGTTGTTTAACACAAAACAGCGTTGCTTCTGACCTACATGATGCTGCTACTGAATGTTTAGTTAATGCTTTTCAATTAATAAATGATGGAGATATTCCACCACAGCAAATTGAACTTGCAAGGATTTTACAGCAAGGAGTTTTGCATACTGGGGAGGCTTTTCGTTCTGCTGTTCGAGATGAGGATAGTGATAAGTAATAAATTAAATTTATGATTTTTTTTCGAGTTTCACCCCTCTTTTCAGGCTTATTAACTATACTCGTCTTTATGCTGAACATTGTGAAGCGTTTCTTACACAAATTGCCAAACATCCAGGTGATGGATTTGGAGATCTACGTGGACTAGAAATGCTTCAAATTGTTAATGAATATCATGATTATAATGTAAAAATATATTTATATTTATTTAATATATTTTATTTTAGCTAGTTGAAATTGGTTTTAATGTTTGGTATCGTTTATCAGAATATCTTTACCAGTGTGATGAACCTGATTTTGATGAACTCAGAATAGCTTTTAAACCTTTTGTTGAAAAGTTTGGAATTAAATTTAAATTTTTAAATTTAATTTTAAGGCATATTTTGTCACTTTGTCGACATTGTAGAATTGATTCTGATTCACAGGAAATGTTGAGTGAGCGATCTGAATTAGCTGAATTTAGATATAGAGCACAAGAAAGTGTTCGGGATGTTGTTAGTTTTTATTTTAATTTTTAATAAAAAATTTCTTTTTTAACAAGACATTTATAATTGGATCTGTGGATTTACTAAAACTTTTAATGGAACATTTAAATACTTCAACTAGTTGGGATCAAATGGAAGCTATTTTATTTATTATCAGTTCTTTCATAAATAATATTGTGGAGTTAGTTTTATTTAATTAAAAAATTATTTGTTAATTTTAAAATAAAATTAGAAGTGAAAAGCTGGTTGTTCCAACACTTTTGGATGCAATTCTTAAATTACCTTTGTCTGGTACCCATAAGCAATTGCTTAAAACTAGTGCACAATTATTGGGTAATCTTCAAGATTGGTTAATAGCACAAACAATTTCAGGTTTAAATTTTTTTTGTAAAAGTTATTTTAGAATTATTTTTAAGCACCATCACAAGGAGATTCTGATTATATGGGTTAATTTATATTTGTTTTTATAAATAATTTTAAAATTTTTAGTTAGAACTTTTGAATGGTTTTGTACACTTTTTGGATTTGCTGATGGTTGTATGGCTTTAACAGTTGCTGAAAGCTTGGAATTTCTAGTAGAACGTGGATGTGGAGAAGTATTAATTTTTATATTTAAAAAATCTTGTTAATATTTTTTAGATACAAAAACGATCATTACATGAGAGATATTTAAATATTCTTTCTGGTTTAATTTTGAGCGTCGAAAAGTCTCAAGGAAAGGCTCAAGAAATGGAAAAAGCTGCTCAACATTTGCTTAAAGCTTCAACTTATTTAATTAATGATTTGCCTTCTCCTCAACTTTGTTCTTTTCTTGAACTTCTTTCTGTCAAATCTATTGATAATCTTGAAAGGGTTTTTAATTTATTTTAAAATAAAAATATTATTTTTTAAAGATAAATTCTAATTCTATTCCTCCTGATCCTCAAACTTCACCAATTTCCACTACAACAAGTAATAAAGAAAATATTAGTGATGCTTGGCAAACACTTTCAACTGATCCAATTTTATGGTTGGATAGACTTTCTTCTGTTTGGAGAATTCTCAAACCTTGGGAAATTCAATTAGAATATAAAAAAGGAAGCCTAAAACAAGAATGCCCGTGGTTGCCTCTCTGCACTAGGGTCGTTCAATGTACACTTGTTACATTGCAGCAACAACAAGAAAAACAACGTTAGGAAAAATTTTTATATTTATTTAATATATTTATTCAATTAAATTTTAAGGAGTTATTGAGCATTGCTGTAGAACTATTCGTTTTTTAATTCGTTCAATGGGTCAACAATCAATTGTATTTATTGAACCTTTGGCTAATCAAGTTATAACTTATAAAATTTCAGTATTTAGCTTAAACATTTTTTGCAGATAATTCTTGTTTATGGACGTTTCCCTCATTCGTGCCTTCTCTATTTAGCTAGTATACTTGTGGATGAGTATGGTAATTTGGAATTTGTTCAGCCAGGAATGCTCTCAATGCTTGAAGTATTTTTTGATTGTAAATATTTTTTAAAAGTAATTGTTCAAAATTTAACAGAATTTGGCTACACGCGCACTTTTGTTACTTTCTTCTGTCCCTAATGGTTCTGAAATGAATCCAGATACAGTTGATGGTATTCGTTTTTTATAATTAAATTTTGCTGATAATTTCAATTTATTTTTTAAAGACCTTTATCGGTTAGCGGTTCGATTTGTTCAGGTTTTTTTCAATTTAAAATATTATTTTTTTAATTTATAAAAAATTAAGCGTTCTCCTTCTTCCGTTTTTTCCCACCAAATATCTGCTCATCTTCTCCAGAATGCTATAAACGGGCTTAATATTTGTCAAGTAGATGCTAATCGATCGCTAAGTAAATTTATAATGGAAGTTATTGATGTTGCTGCTGGGAAAAGAAAAGTAAAAAATAATTATTTAAATTTTTGTAATTAAAATTTTTTAGGAGACATCAATTCAAGTAGCTGATGTTCAACGTGTAAAACAATTATTATTGTCTTTATGTCCACAAATTATGTTATCCAGTGTTTCTGCTGCACTTTTTCATTTATCTACTTTATTAAGTAAAGAAATGGCTGAAATTATGTTTGGATTAATACAATTAGATAAACAAGTAATGGTATAATTTCGGAAAACGAACAGAGCCGAAATAAGTCGAATTATATGTCATTCGAAAGAGCTCGTCGAGTTGAGTCGAATGGTGAAAAAATTTTCGTGCGGACTCATAAAGGGGCTGAGATATAGCTCCGCGAAAATCGAAAAACCATAGGGGGGACCAAGCTGATTTTTGGAGTCAAAAATTCGAAAATGAAAATGATACCTCATTCGAAAAAGCTCTTCGAGCTGAGTCGAATGACACCAAAATTAACGAAATCTGACTTGATTTGACAAAGTTATGATCTTTTATTTTAGCTCCTTACCTTTGGTATCCGTCGAGGTTTTTCCTGCTACGGAGGAAGCCAGATAACCCATTACAGCGATAATTGGAATAGGATTAAGTTACGAGCCCAGAACCCATCGCCCGTAGACTCCCCGCGAGGCGCGTGCCGCAAAACCCCGCGCGAAGCGCGGGGTTTTGCACAAGCGCCTCGCCTACGCCTCATAGGTTTACGTTGACCATTTTGAGCCTCTATCTCGGCTCAGAATTAATATTTCGAGTTGATTTTGGTGTCATTCGACTCAGCTCGATGAGCTCTTTCGAATGAGCTATCATTTGTATATTCAAATTTTCACCCCAAAAAAGTGCTTGGTCCCCCCTATGGTTTTTCGATTTTCGGGGGCCTATATCTCAGCCCCTGTATGAGTCCGCACGAAAATTTTTTCACCATTCGACTCAACTCGACGAGCTCTTTCGAATGACATATAATTCGACTTATTTCGGCTCTGTTCGTTTTCCGAAATTATTCCCAAGTAATTTTATTAAAATTATTTTTAAAAATAATTTTATAGAAAGCAGAAGAATGGTTAAATTTTACTTGTTCACAAATTCCTCATGATGGAGGTAATAGTGCTACACCTGAACAACTTTTAGACTTTCGAACACGTGTACTAAGGTTTTGATTGTTTTTTTAATTAAAAAAAATTATTTTTTAGTGCTGTAAGATCTTATGACGTTATTTTGGCTTTACGTGACTTGAGGAAATTTTATGCTTGACAATTGTAAAAATATTTAATAGAAAATTTTTTATTCCGAATGTTTTTTCTAAATTTTATTCTCTTTTGTTATTTTTTGACATCCATTTTCCTTAATAATAAAAATAAATATTTTTAAATTATTTATTTAATTTTTATTTATTTATTAAAATTTAATTTAAATATTTTAATTAAATAATTTAACATTTATGAATTTTGTGTTTATAATTCAAGAATTACCTATTATTTTATTGAAACAATGAGGGCTTTATTTATGAGACGTTTTGCAACACAAGATATTGTAGGTTATTTTTTTATCAACAAGGCTAGAATAAAAAATGTCTTTTTTTAAATAAATTGTTCCTTTTTTTAATCAGGTCTGTTCTTTTATTTTTTGTGTGCTCTTACCTCTAGGCTTTATATATACTGCTTTGGTTACTCTTACGAATTGGTATGAAGTCTTTTCTTCGGTTAGTTTTTATTTTTTAATTGTTTTCAAATTTTTTAGGAATGGTTATTTCGAGTTATTCCTCTTTTATTTTTTGGTTTTAATGTTTACTTAAATGCTTGGAAAGTTGTTAAAGTTGGGCCTAATTCTCCAAATGCTTCTTTGTTGCCTACAGTGCAAAAGGCTGGATATCGTTTTTGTTATGAATGTAATTTTAATGCTCCCCCACGTTCTTTCCACTGTCCAGGTTTTTTTTTGAAAATTTATTTAAATTAAAATATTTTTTCTTTTTTAGTTTGTAATATTTGTATATTACGGTAATGATTTTTAAAAATAAATACCTATTTTAATTTTTTAAATAAATTTTAGTCGAGATCACCATTCTTCGTTTGTTGGGTGTTGTGTTGGTCATTTCAATCAGCGTTATTTTGTTGCTGCTATTTTTAATCTTTTACCGATTACTCTTAGCTGTGTTGTGTAAGTTTTAAATTTCTTTTCACAAATGATTTTAAATTGGAATTTTGACATTTTAATTATTAAGTAAAAAAGGGGGCCTGGGTATACTTTACCGGGATTTTTACGGGGAAATTCCGGGGAATCAAAATTTTTTTTCAAATTCCCCGACTTCCGGGGACAAGGAACAACCCTATTTTTAATAACATAAAAATTAAAAGAAAATATTTTTTCTAGTTGGAATGTTTTTATGTTACTACCAATATTTAATAATTTATTTAATATTTGGAAAGTTATTTTTCCTCATTTGGCTTTTTTACTTGGTGCTATATCTTTCAATCAATTTATTTTAATCGCAACATTTGCATTTTCTGTTGCAACTTTAACTTTTAATATTTATTTAATTATTGCACAATTATTTTGTCTTTCAATTGGACAAACACGTGTTGAATATCTTCAAAATATTAATATTTATAATCTTGGAATTTGGAAGAATTTATTTGAAATACTTGGAGAAAATTGGCCTTTTATTTTTATTTCTCCTTTTATTAAATCTCCGCTACGGTCAGATGGACATTCTTTTACTACAAGAGAAATGCAGGAAATACGGCCAAAATATTTTTGAAGAAAGGAAAAAGCATTGAAAATCTCAAATATATAATTATTTTTGTTTAGTATTATCTAGTCTAAAATTATTTTTTAGTGCTATCCCAATTCTCTATTAAATACTTTAAGCTTTTTTATTTATCTGTAGACTTGCCATTAAAACAATATTTTAAAGATTAAACCATCATTTTTTGAAACAGTAAAGTGACTTAGTCATTTCACGCCTCACATTTGAATGTGAAGCTATTTTCTGGGATGTTCTCAGGATACTTTAATATTTTTTAGTCAATTAAAACAAAGTTGTTAATATACAAATAACGTGAAAAAATTAAATAAAAATATCTAAACCAACGCATTTGAGATTTATAATGGTTAATCATTATTTCGTAAGCGCTGTAAATTAAGAGAAAATTTCTTTTAAATATTTGTAAGTACCTTGTCGGACCAGACCAAGTTATATAAACAATTTGTTTATCTCTTTCTAATAATTCTGTTAAATAAACATCAAAAAAACTTAAATATTTTCTCCACAAAGGTACACTTTGTAAGGCAAAAAATTTTGTATTATTCCATCGTTTAGTCAAAAGTTTAATTGTTTTGAAGCAATTAATATGATTTGGATGCCCACTAACACCCCATTCATCAAAAGTAATTATTCCTTTAGGTGGCTGGTTTATTCTTTTTAATAATACTTCAGCAAGACTAGTAATATTCCATTCAACAAAACCATCAATAAATATTTTTCCATTTCGATCCAAAATGTGTACGTGATCATTTGGAATGCCATAAGTATTGGCAGCTTCAATCAGCTCTTTAATTCTAATTAAACCTAAAACCCGAAATTTCTTGATTTATAAAATATTCATTTTTAACCATTGCCTTCAGAATCGCCAGAAGTAATGCAGAAAATATGTAAAACAACACCCACAGATTTAAGCGTAAAAAGTGTTGGGGAAAAGAACATTCTATAAATTGGAATCTCCAATTGAGAAAATAAAGAAATATTTTTTTACGTTTCATCATCTGGATGTGCAATAAATAAATACCAAACTTCACCAGAATATGCTGGAAATCTATTCTTATTTTCAAATGATAAGAAAAGTGTGAAGAAAATAGCAATTAAACAAACGAACAAAGATAGACACAACAACTTAATTGGAGATCTATTTAGAGTAATTTCCATCAAAAAAGGAATAAAAATATAAGAAATATTTACAAAAATAAATTTTGGGAGTTAAAATCCAAATATTTTCAGATATCACACAAAATCAATTTAAAAACCAAAAAACGACAGATTAAATATTCTCGAGCAATACACAGAAAAAACAAAAAGAAAACAAAAAATAATAATTTATGGTGAGTAATCATCGTTTGAATCAGTTGGGAAGTCCTCATCAGAATAAGAAGAATCATCATCTTCATCAAAATCAATTTCAGCACCTGCTAATTCTCCAAGAGCAATTTGATGCTCGTCATTATCCTCGTCATCTTGTTCACTCATCGTCGATCCATCTCCATTAACAGAAAATAATTCTTCGGCATTCATGCTTTGTGTTGACTAAAATAATGTAATTTTTTAATTTTTAAATTATTATTTAATAATGAAAAGGAGTGATTTTTAATAACTTGGGGTTTATAAAAGAACTACTTTTGCCCAGAGAAAAGACTTCAGAAAACACCCCTCATAGTTTCTTATGTAAGGTAATAATTGGAGTAAAATGGGCTGAATAATATTTATATATTACAGAATTTAACAACAAAAAATAAAATAATTTTTCATACTAATTATTATTTATTATCAATTTTTTTCTAAATTATTACTACCAGATCTCCTCCACTATCTGAATTTCTCTCGTCATCTTCGTCGTCCCGTACTGTTCCGGCTGAACTCACTGTATCAGCAGTGCTTGAAGAATAAATATCGTCATCTTCTTCCTCATCGGGATTTGCCTCATCCTGATCATCATCATCCTCTTCATCTACTTCACGACGACGTCCAATTTCGTAAAGTTTAAAAAGATTTGTATCTTCATCTGAATTTCGACTAATTTCCACAACACCAACAAAATTATCGGAATGGCTAGTGCACAAATCTAGAAGAGGTTTTCGGGTATCATGAGTTGATATTACCTTAAAAATTAATTAATTATAATAATTGTTTAACAAAAAAATCTTTTCAGAACCTCATAATTTGTAGAATCAAAAGTTCTAAAGAAATTGCCAAAAATGTGGAAAAAACGATCATCAATTTCTGACGCAGCATCTTGATGAACAATTCCAAACATAATAGAACCAGTAGGATTGAAGGCTAATTGACATTGATTTAATGCCGGAACAGTATGCATTAAACGACGTGTACGGAGATCCCACTAAATAAATTTAAAAAATTTTTTTTTGAAAAATAATAAAATTAACTTACAACTTCTCTATTAATAATAACTTCCGTGCCACGTGGATGAAAAATCCCACTATTATCCAAATTCATTTTGTCAAATTTATGAACAACTCTAGCATGAGGACCAATTCTTGGATCAAAGAGAATTCCATCATTTAATATCAATTCATCCATTGGGTCAAAATAGGCATGATTACGAGTATAATGATTTGCAAGACGTTCATCAAAAAGAACAACAACAGGAGAGGATGTTTCTGTATCATAAACAAATGCTTTTGGACCCTTAAAATGAATTCAATTTTAAACCAGAAAATTCTTTAAATTTAATTTAAAAAATCCCTTACTTGTGTTCCAACAATTTGACTGTTTGAAAGATTTCCAAATTCAACAAATTGGTCTTCTTTAAATTCTGTCAAACGCTCACTCATTGAAATACCATTAGCTTCTAGGCGCCAAAGAATAGAAAAGGGTTTGACAAAAGCTGATGATGTAAGCATTAAACGATCCTTTAAAAGAAAAATTTAAATTTTTTAAGTTTATTTATTTATTACCTTTGTAGGACGAATAGAAGTTATCGAGGAATGATGACTGAAAAAACAATTTAAATTTTAACTAAATAATTTAAATAATATACCAAGTATAGCTTGAATCCACAACACCTGTTCTAATATTAAAAACAAACATTTCACCCGCATATGTTCCAAGAAAAACATGCTCATCGTTATGCTAGAGTAAAAGAAAAAATTGTTTACAAAAAATAAAATAAATCACCGAAAGTTGACAGCATGTAAAAGTTTCGTTTTCTTCAATAAAAGTTTTTGATTGTCTAAAAATAAAAAAATAAATAAATATTAACAATTAAAATTAAACCTAAATTTGCTGAAAACAAGGCGACGATCTTCTCTCCTCAATGCTTCCATTGTGCATCTATATGGCGGATTAGAGCGATAACGAAGGCGATTGACAAAATTGGATGGAGGGGAATATAATAATTTAGGTTCGGGACACCGATGAGGACTGTAAAATTCAAATTATCTAATGTAAAATAAATACAGAAACTTACTAAAACAAAGAAAAGGGAGGACAATTTGCTACCGGATTTCGACACATTGCATGTTCGTTTCGAAAGTAAGAATGAACAATATCACTAAGGGATTTATGTGGTCGAACTTTCAATGAAAACGAAATGCTAGAAGTGCTGATTGATGGTCCTGGAGTTGATGTAGCTGAAGATTGTCCTAATGGAGTTCGGCCATCAGAATAACTAGCAGAAGAGAAAGGAAGCAATGAATTACCGATAGCTGTTGGAGTGTTTGTTGTATTCATATGAATTTTCATTGGAATTCGGTTGCCAATTATAGTTGTACTGTTAGTTAATGTTGAATGATAACGAGTTGAAGATGCATTAGCTATTGATAAAGGAAGGATTTCTATTATGAAAATAAAATGTATAAAAAAATTAAAATAAGATTTTACGAGTAGTAGAACCATTATTGACTATTTGCGCATTATTCCCATCAAATTTCAAAATGCGTCGTGCAATAACATTTGCAAACGAAGTTGGATTTTGACGAGGCTAAAAATGACTATTTAAAAATAAATTTATAAAAACTATTACAAATCCAGGCAAAGAAGCAGGTGTAGACGGAATACGACTTGCTGGAAAATTAGGCAATTCTGCTTCCGTTTGTAATTGTCTGGCTGTCTTTTTAAAGCCAATATCTGTTAGATGTTGATAAATAAGTTGCAAAAGCTCCTTTTCATTAAATTTGATCCGGGTTTGAGCAACAACAGCTGAACGCCATAAATTTTCCTTAAAAATTTATTGATCTTAATTTATCTTGAGTGATAATAAACTTGAGTCATTTCCATTGTCATAGCTGTAAAATCCTGTAATTTGGTTTGACTAACGCATTCAATCAAATGACGGGCCTGCTCACAAAAACGATTGTGTTCAATACGTTTTTCCAATAAAATTGGTGTTTGCATTAAGGCTAAAAATATTTCAATAAAAAACAAGTAATTCAAAAATTCTACCATTCAATTCATTTGCAGCAATAATTGGCAATTTGGAGAGAATCTGACGAATTGGTTCAAAACGAGCAACACCATTTAATGCTCTACAAGCTAGCTCTCGAATTAAATCCGCTTCCGTAGCCGGGCTTTGCTTATGTAACAAAGATGTCAACACCTTTAATTTAAAAAATATAACTATCATGAATCAAAATAAAATTTTGATTTTGACCGCTCACTAATAACTACCATAAATATTTAAAATATACCATTATTGCATTATTTTGTTGCGCACATTTCCAAAGAATATGCAAAATTTGCGTAGGTACGAGGAATAATTTAACTCCTTTATCTTTATTAATAGTGGATTCTGCTGCTGTCACATGTTGCGCAATTGTCGATGTTCTTGTTACTAATGGCCTTTGACCAGAGAAAAGACTAACAGCATTACTATTCAATGGTGCTGTTGGAACTATTGGAACTTCGCTTGGCTTATCGAAAACTACAGACAATTTATCAGACAATTCTTTAGGAAGAATGTCGCGATCAAAATCACAAGTAAAACGATAATGCAGTCCAAGATAGTTGTCCTGATCAGTTGGGCTACATAAACAATTGTTAAGAATTTCAAGGGAAAGACGTTGTATTTGCGAATCATTAATTAATTCCCCATCTGCCATTTCCAAAATGAGACTAAAAATTAAAAAAACATAAATTTAAATCCAAAAAAGATTTTTAAAGTTTAAACATACCCAAGTCCCTGCATCGGTGTGTGCCTAATCATCATCGTTTCACAAGAGTCCAATTGAACTTTAGGAGAAACTGTTGCCAAACGCAAAACCTCCAAAACAAGTTTAAGTGTATCGGCCTTTCCTTGTCGTTCCCAATGACACCAGTCCGGATATTTCGAAATAAGGGTAAATAACAAACGGAAAACACCCAAAACGCGCATATCTTCCACCGGTTTCCAATTGTGATGATGGGGTTGTAACATACATTGAGTACGTAACAAATATTCAATACATCCTTTTTCAGTTTCTTCATCTAAAGCCATTGGTTTAGAATGTGGATGAGCAATATTTGGAATGGCATGTGGAATAGCTGGAACTCGACGGCCTTGATAATAATGCATATGATGACTACTTTTACCGAGCTGTGAACGTTGCTTCATATTTTCCATTTTAAGGAAGACATGAGAAGATAAATAACTAAAAACCAATATAGAAAAATTTTAATTATAAATCAGAATTACGTTCTAAATGCAAATATAGCATTCTTAATTGTAGCTATGCTTTGAATATAATGCTCATCATTAATTAAATCATCCTCATCAATGTCATTACGCTGGAGAATCGTGAGAGTTGAAACATAGTTGTAGAGACGACGCAATCCATCACCTAAATAAATAGATTTAATGCTTTAATTTAAACAAACGTTGATCAAATCGATCAAGAATTGCTCGAAATTGTAAAGCATAAGCCAAAAACATTGCAATTGATGCACGTCCACTCTCATGACTGTGATCTAATGCATATAAGGAATAATCGACCATTTCATTTAGCAAGGAATCAGGTAAATGACAAACCTAGAATTAAAAATAAGTAGTAAGTTGGCTAAAGAGAAATTCTAAACCTTTTCCATAATGTCAGAAGAATAGGCCAAATAATAGAGACAAGTAGCGACAGCTGTGAGCGCCAATGATTGACGATTGATTTTCAACAATTTTTGAATACCCTGTGCTGAGATAAACTCCCAAGCGAATTTCCGATGAATTAAAAGCGATGATATGTAACGGATTGCATCAAAAAGAAGA